CATAACTCCTTCCGGCCCTGGGAGGGTTTCTCCCGTTGTCGCGTGTCCGTCCGTTGTTCACACGCGCACTGGCTCATCACAACTTTCTCGTTCCACCAGTCGATCTGGGGGTTGTGTTTCTTGAGCCATGGCACACCAAGGATGCACGCATGGTTGTCCATGTGCACGATGTCAAACTGAATCGTTTCCTTGTGCCCGTGTAGCATGACCATTTCCAATGGGACCGTTTCGTGGGTCACCATTCCTTCATTAGTCGAGATGGGCTCTCCATCTACGACCATTAACGGGTATGGTTCGGTTTTCAATTGCGTCTTGAAACCTTGCGTGTCTGCTACTTTCTTTGTCATAAAGTTGCCCGTCGCTCCTGAGTCAATCATTGCTCGGAGGTGTCGCTGTTGTGTCATACTGACATTCGTTGCACTCAGTTTGCTATCAAACTCAAGAGCAAACTTAGAAATCTCCTCCTCAAACCTACAAGTCACCATACATATCTGGGCTTATCACACCAACAACAGAAGCAATACTACTCAACGATTGCTGAAAACTCTTCTACTACATCTGTTTATGCTACATACATCACGGCATATCATTTGGACACTCATTGAACAAGTTATTAAGAAAATCTCCTCCTTAAGGGGGTGGGCCAATACTACCACATGGCATATCTCTACCAACTAGAGGCCTAGGAACATGAACGATAGCTCTAGAAGCTTCTACAACCCTCTATGATTCATTACACGTCATCGCTCCTTAGTTACCCACAAGATTGGTTAAGTTATGACATAATTTGTCTATAGGTACTCTGACCTTGGACCTCCTTTTCACTTCCTATAGGCTAGGAACCCAAGAGATGGTTCTATGGGATTCTCTTACGTTCACTACATGATTAGCAAGCTAGTTGTGGGTCGCACTTGATTTCTAATACATTTACCAAGCCTGGTTAGTCATGGAAAGTCATGGAAAATAAGAGAACTACACTCCTTTGGCATAAATAGGATTGCCCTTTCCTTAAGAAAGGGCAAGCAGGCAATACAGTAAATCGACTAGCACATACTTCTACGTCTTTTCCAAGCTTCCAAGCATTGATCTTGTTATTCTCTGTTTTTGAAAAGTCAGTGAGGTGCTAACCTCTGACTTACCCCTGAGTTCTCAGACTCAACATTTGTTGCAACTTGTCTAAACCACTTCACCACATCATACACCTGATTGCTGCGTTGTGGAATAGTCTAAGCTACGACCCTTTGGCTCTGTTTCCTAAGACAGTGTGTTGTCTTAGTAAATTCATCCCTTCCTTGGGTGGCTAGATTCTCATATCTGGTGCACCCACCATTACATGTTGTATCTTAGCGACCACATATAGTTGCATGCTGCCCGTCGTGGCGCGTAGCTGGTCTGTACTAGGCCTCTTCGTGTCGCTCGCCGGTGGCCTACCGTCGAGGACTCCTAGTTTTTTGACTCGTCCGAGGAAGGATAGTATTCATCCGCTTCCAATGGTGGTCCTTGGGGAGATCATTTCCCTCGCTCTTCTGCTTCGTCTAGCAGATGTGGATATTTCTCGTATACCTGTTCGCTTTTGATAGGCAAGTCCCCTTCAGACTGGCTTCGCCTGAGGGCGTGAACTTGCTCTGCGTCTCTGAAGTGTATCCTGGGCGAGGATTGGGGAAACAACTGATTCTGGTGTTTCTTTTTCCAGTGGAGCTTGCAGTCATCTTCGCTGCAATACTCCCAGTAGACATACGCGTGCCAGGGATGATCAGTCTCTGTTGCGTCTGTCGTTGATAGTTCCCGCTGTCCTCTCACCCATGCACTATCTTCCCTCGGAGGCGTGGAGAACGTGTCTAGTTGCTCCATGGCTCTCCTTTCGATGTGTGGAGTGGGTCTCGTATTTTCCCGTCGCAGCATACCTCTGGCTTTCTCGTCGTACTTCTCCAGGGCTCTCCTGCGGTCCTGGTAGTAAAGTTCGACGCTTTTCATATACTTCAGTTTAGCCATATGCTCGACATCCTTCTCCAGTTCTTCTGCTTCTTGGGCTTCCAACTTAGCTACATCTGGGGACGTGCCAAGCAGCCTGCGGGTATTCGTTAGTTGGTCGTAGTATCTCCAGAGGTCATCCTTGCAGTCGTCCACCTTGCACTCTAACGGAAGTCCCTGTAACAGGTTCCCGTAGATGCCCTTAAGCGTGGAGATTCTCCTCTGGCCACTGGGCTTGTCTCGTTCGGCCCTAATCTTCGCGTGGGCGTGTTTTGCCATGCGTCTTACTACGCTCTTGCACCGTGGACTCATTGGTTCCGTAGGTGCGAGTTCGTCGAAGGTTTCCTGTTTCGAGACGGTGAACGATTCCGCCTCCGACCCTTCATCTGAGCTCTCGTCTTCCGGGGTGCTTTCGCCGTTTATTCCCCAGTCCTGTTTGCTCACAAACGTTGCATTCAACTGTCCTGTCCAGGTGGCATTGAGTTGTTTGCCGACTTTGCGTCCGCCGTTCCCTTTCTTTGGCTGTCTGTAGTCTCGGGCCATGTGGCCTGGCTTGGCGCAGTTAAAACAGAGTCGTTCCTTGAATTGTCTGTCTTTCTTAGGGTCACGGGGTCGTCCAGGTTTGAACGTGGCATCGAGTTCCATTGGGTCCGACCAACGGTTGTCTCGCGGGTGTTGATCCCGTCGTCTGCCCTCGTTTCCCCGGTAGGGGTAACTTTTCTTGGGCTTGTCATAGGTCCGACGTTCCTTCTGGAATTCGTATAGTCGATTGTCGATTCGGACCGTATGTTCGATTAGCGCTACCATGTCCGTTGGTTGTTGTTCCAAACGGGCAAGTTCCATACGTATATGGCTCTTCAGCCCACATCAGTAGTGGCTGATGAGTGCGCTGGCGTCCCATCCTGTCTGATTGCCATATCTCTGGAATTCTGTGGAGTACGTGAGGGCGCTGCCAGTCTGCTTAAGTGCAAACAGATGGTCTTCCGCGGTCTTAATCTCATCGATGTCTCCGAACATGCGTCGGATTTCCTTACAGAATCCTTTCCAGCTGCCAAACATAGTCTGCGTAGTTGCCATGCTTCCATTGGTACTCTCATATTTGAAATAATCCTTGAGGAATGGTTGGATCCATCGCAGGGCTTCCCCCCTAAGGTAGGACGCAGTCCACAGGGCATAGCTCTCCTGGGTGGGAAACTTCTCGTCATTGAAGTGCTGGTACAGTTCGACCTGTAGCAAAAACACCTCAAGTTCCTTTCGGTTGCCGGAGTAAGTGTCGGGCAACTTGACGCGTAGAGTTTCCTTGAGTTCGTTGACGGTGGGTGCGTCGGGCATCTCTTCATTCTCAGGCTTAGACCTCTGAGACGAAGTTGGCGTGGTGGGGGTTTTCCCCTTCGAACTGACGAGAGACATGTTGCTTTGTGTATGAGCCAGTGCCTCGTAGAAGTGGTGCTCAAAGTGTAACGCTGACTTCTAAACGATAGAAGGCACAGAGGTTCTCTTGCGTAAAGGTTTACTTATCAGAGGAGGCAGGGGATCAGACACAAAGGCTTCAAGTAACACGTTACTAGTATATAACAAATACTGTATTGAGTTGAGCACGAAGCTCCTATCTAAGAACTAACTATCTACTTATATAGTGGCGTCGTGCCTAGTGGACTCCTGGGAACTCACTCGAGTCCTCGGAGTCCTGGACTCTTAGGATTCTTCTCATCATCCTGCGAGTCCGTCACGTGCCTAGTGGACTCCTGGGAACTCACTCGAGTCCTCGGAGTCCTGGACTCTTAGGACTCTTCTCATCATCCTGCGAGTCCGTCACGTGATACTTTCGGAACTACTATTCCCCGCTGCCCCTCCAGGTACCAGGGCCGGTCTCATGCCACCTCCCTCCTTCCTGTCCTGTAGTTGGCCAGCCTTCTTGTTCCGTCGTAACACTCTGACTTACCCCTGAGTTCCCAGACTCAACATTTGTTGCAACTTGTCTGAACCACTTCACTACATCACACACCTGATTGCTGCGTTGTGGAATAGTCTAAGCTACGACCCTTTGGCTCTGTTTTCTAAGACAGTGTGTTGTCTTAGTAAATTCATCCCTTCCTTGGGTGGCTAGATTCTCACATCTGGTGCACCCACCATTACACTCGCCTAAATCAAGGCTGATAGCAAGGCAGAGCGAGAGGTAACTGGGGTTCTCTCGCCCAATGCAGGGCCTAGGTTTCTGGGTACCAGATGCGAATGATGAGCTATCGAAACTGCTACTATATTGTGAAACACAAGTCAGCTGGATGGATGCACGTCGTGAGAAATGTGTGTCTCAAGAGGCCAGACCTGCAAAGAAACGAGCGAGATAAGGCCGTGGACCGCGAGGCCTCTGCTCTGCTCGATGAGTAAGAAATGGGGGCGGTTGATCGAGAGGTGAGTTGAGATGGAAACAGCGTTGGATTTATGTTTGAGGTAATGCTAGCGTGGGCAGGTATAATGCGTTCAAGCAGCGAGGGCGCTAGAGCGGCCATGTAGGCTTGGCGGCGCTTTCCCTGTTGTAGACCCCCTGATTACCTGATACAGAATCGCCAACATGTATATAGCTAGGGCTATTATATTGATCCTTAGAAGAAGACATAGTTATAGTAAAGATAGTATAAAGTGTTGTTATAGTATAAAGTGTTGTTATGTATAAAGTGTTGTTATTGTTGCTTTTGTTTTAATAGAAAAGTTAGTTAAGGAGCAAGTTAAAGGCTCTATATATACCTAGATTATAGATTCTAGAATATTCTATATAGATATATTTATAAGCATTTATAAGCATCTTGAACTCTCTAGAAGTTTGTACAAGTTTGTAGAATTCTCTAGAAACATTTCATTTTTCTTATCTTATCTTTAAGCTCATCTGAACTATACCTTATTAGGCTTAGTTATTACCTAATTGGGTATAGTTCAGATAAGCAATAAGATAAGATAAGAAAAATGAAATGTTTCTAGAGAATTCTACAAACTTGTACAAACTTCTAGAGAGTTCAAGATGCTTATAAATGCTTATAAATATATCTATATAGAATATTCTAGAATCTAGGTATATATAGAGCCTTTAACTCGCTCCTTAACTAACTTTTCTATTAAAACAAAAGCAACAAATGATTTTCCGATAGAGGGGTAAGAAACCAGGAGCCTCCTATGCGGAAAGGATTTGGTTAACTCCAGGGTATTGCTTGTGCTCAGGTGCCCAAAGGGGTTATTTGCATATTCTAAAAGGTCCCCCCTCGCCAAAGATGCTTTATGGTGTATGGCGTCCCAAAATCTAGAACACATGCCGCGCAGACACACGCACACCACCCGTTCCACCTTTACACTACTTTTGCCCACCCTCTGCATACCCATGCCTACCTCTTCTTCGGCGCTCCGATCACCGTTCGTGAATAGCTAACGCTCGCAAGCGGAACATCCTCCCTCCTCGCCCTTTGCTTCGCTTCGATCCCCGTCCGGTCAGTAACAACTGTTGCATCAATAATTCTATCGAACTCGTCATCATCTCCATCGGATCCATTATCTGAATCCGCCTGTACAGCAACCGGCTCGGGGCGCGGAATATGCGCCGGAGAGGGTTTAGAAGTTGAGGCGGGGCTAGAGAAGGGTTTCGAGGCGAGAACCTGCCGGCGCAGTTCAGCCATCTCGGCTTCGTCGTCGGAGTCGTCAGAGATATCGAAGGGATCGCGGTCGTTTTGGGGGAGAGACAAAGATGGGTCGGAGGGGATTTTCGGGGGTTTGGAGCCGAGGTATATTCGGTCTATGCTACCCTCTTCGTCGTCGTCTTCTGCATCCTCATCGTCGTCTTCGTCGGAACTCACGGCGGCTCTGTGGTTGGTGTTCCCGGTCTTCCAAATATCATCCGCTGCCCCTTCCTCCCTACTATCCGTATATTCCTTCTCCAATCTCTCCATCCACGCCTCCTGTGCCTTCTTCACACCCGCTTCATCCTCACACGCAGCGTAACGCTTCAGGATACTGCTATTAATTTGCAAGAACGCGCTGCCATAGCTAAATGGCGCCAACACCTCCTTTGCCCACTCAGGATGTCCACATATATAAAACGCTGCCGCCAGGGCCTCCACGCAATTTAGCCGCCATGGCTTTCCGTAGTTCACCGAGTTCGCCGCCACAAGATAAGGTAGCAGACGCTCGCACTTCCCGCCGATACGTGGCCAGGGCACTTCGCTCGTTCGCGCCCATGAGCACTCTACCACCGCCGCGCCGTAGGCCTCCATCGTCTCGCGATCGGCGGGGGAGACGGTCGCCTTGCCGTTCGGGGTGATGATGACGCCGGAATGCTTCTGGCCGATCGCCAGTTCGCGCATGAGGCCTTGCTTCATAAGTTTGCGGCCGGAGCAACGCTTCGGATCGCAGTGACCGAGATCCCAGCAGGCGGCTCGAAAAGAGGGGCGGGCATGAGGAGCATCGGAGTCGTCGTCCCTGGGGCCTCGTTGGCGGGGGGCGTTGGCGTATTTCTTGCCTTTAGGGCCGAAGCCATCTTTCTTGTGGCGAACCATCGCAGGAGAAATAAACGTTGTTGTTTGTAGTATTTGATTTCTTAGATCGTAGCGAGATGGAAATCGTAAATGTGCCTTGCTTCGTCTTTTGTGAGTCGTATGTGTAGTTTGGGGCAGGTTGATATGCTGCCAAATTCTATTATCACGATAATAACATCGTGCCGCTCTACACCGCCCGGTGACTTGCCCCCGACCCTCCGATGTGGCTGCGCAGTGCCAAGCTATATCTAGGTCGACATCACCACACCACATCATAGCTCTCAGCTTCCTTCTATTTCGAATTTCTTTGCATGCCCTCTCCCCGAACCAGCTCACACCGGGCTTCATAACCACCCAAACCCGCCCATGGAAGCTGCTTCAGCGCGTATGGCTACGCGCGACCGCTTCTCACAAGCGGGCGACTTGGGTCCCACCCCGCTCCAGCGCTTCATCCAGCAAGCCTGCTCGCCCGAGTACTTTGAGCCGAACCTGTCGCTCAATCTCGAGATCGCGGACCTCATAAACTCCAAGAAGGGGAATGCGCCGCGCGAGGCCGCCGTTGCGATCGTCAACTATATCAACCACCGGAACCCTAACGTGGCCTTGCTGGCACTAAGCCTCCTCGACATCTGCGTGAAGAACTGCGGGTATCCGTTCCAGCTGCAGGTCGGCACGAAGGAATTTCTCAATGAGCTTGTTAGGAGGTTCCCGGAGAGGCCGCCTGTGAGGGCTACGAGGGTCCAGTTGAGGATTTTGGAGGCGATTGAGGAGTGGAAGAGCACTATTTGCCAGACAAGTCGGTATAAAGAGGACTTGGGGTTCATACGGGATATGCATAGGCTGCTTAGTTATAAGGGCTATACGTTTCCGCAGGTTAGGAGGGAGGATGCCGCGGTGTTGAATCCGAGTGATGTAAGTACTTTGGTTCCTTGCAATTTAGTTCTCAACAGCTGGCCGAAACTGACACGTAATAGAACCTCAAGTCGGCAGAGGAGATGGAGGAGGAAGAGAGATCTGCGCAATCGGCAAAGTTGCAGGAACTGATCCGGAGAAGTGGGCCGGAGGATTTGCAGGAGGCGAATCGGTTGATGAAGATAATGGCTGGATATGATACCCGATCGAAAACTGATTATAGAGCGAAGGCAGCCGAGGAGGTGGGCAAAATTCAACAAAAGGCTAAGTTGCTAGAAGAGCGGCTTGAGGCTTTCCAGCCCGGAGAAACAATGACCGAAGGTGATGTGTACGAGGAGCTTGCCGCATCACTGCAGAGTGCCCACCCCAAAATACAGAAGATGTGCGAGGAAGAGTCAGATGACCATGAAGCCGTGGCGAAACTATTCGAGATCAACGATAGCATAAATCGCACGGTCGAGCGGTATAAGCTAATGAAGAAGGGAGATATTGAGGCGGCATCGAAAATCGCTAAAGGGACTCTGGGAACAACTACTGGAGTGGCAAAGAACGCTGCGAATGAGCTCTCATTAATCGACTTTGATGCCGATGGAGAGGGTGTGGGTGGAGCTTCTTCAAGTGCACCACCGTCAAAGCCAGGTGGACTCGAAGACGACCTGCTTGGGTTATCAATGGGTGAAAGTACTATTAGCGACGCCCCCTTTGGGCAGTCTGGTGCTATTGGACTTGGCTTTGGTGCAAACAGAAGTATGTCATTTGGTCACACCCTATATGGCAAGGCTAACATATTTAGACATCCCTGGGCCATCATTGATATCCTCGACCACGGAAAACAACAGTGCGCGAGCTCCAACTCCTGCGGCGTCAACGGCGTCGCCAGCATTAACACAGGCAAATTATGCCGGATTCCAGCCTCCTGCACAGCAACCGCCCTCTGATCCATTTGCAGCTCTCACTCAGCCACTCAGACAGTCGACGCCACAACTTTCTTCCACCACTCCTTCCATGTTTGACTTCGGTTCCAATACATCTACCCCAAATCCAAACGCCACAAATCCGCCAGTGTCCACAGATGATGATGAATGGGAGTTTGAATCTGCACTACCAAAAAACAACGGGTTGCCATCGAATGTGATCACTTTGACCGACTCTGTTATAAATATCACAGCTGAAGCAAGTCGTAAATCGAATTCAGATCCGGCTATCACGATATCCCTAAGGTATTCCAACAAGACCCCCATGCCAATCTCAGATCTCGAACTCAGGGTAGCAGTGCCGAAGGTATACTCCCCCACGCTCGTGTCATCCCATGCCTCACTAACTTGAAATAGAAGTTGCAGGGAATTTCACTCAAATGGGAAACTCTGACAGGGACAACTCTGCAACCACTTCAGAAAGACGGAATCTCACAAGTGGTACATCTTAATGGCGTAGCACTTGGACAGGGAAACAATGTTAGACTGCGGTGGCAGCTATTGTACAAGCTCGGCGGCGACTCTAGGCAAGAACAGGGCGAGATACCAACTCTTGGTGTTGCATAAAAAGCTGGTATTATAGTAGGGGTAGGGAAAGCGTTTTAGACTTGAATCTATGTAGCGGCATTGCCAGCGTCTTGATTTTCAAGAACATAACCATGTCCCAACTGCAGTTTGTGAGGTGTCCATATGTATTGTCCTTAATTACCCAAATACTGGGCACTCTTATGCGAATATATATTCTATGTTGTTGCATATCATAACCCCACTATGCCATATCCATGCCAGGCATCCCTTGCATTCCACCCACCCTCGCCCAGAACGCCTCAAAGTCTACTCCCTCCCTTTCAAACAATTCGTTTGCCTTCTTCATTGTTTCCTGTTGCCTCTCGGCGGTAAACCCGCCTTCCCGCGCACTCTCATACTGTACAAGCTCGATCCAGCGGAAGAACAAGCTCTCTTTCCCCATCAATGTCAGCTCGTCCTTAAATAGTACAATCTTCTTCCGCGCCTCTTCTTCCTTATTGCCACCCTGCACGTTCTCATCCCAGGTCACCCATCCATAAGCTGGGCTATGCACCAAGGCCTGTGTCTTAAAATCTGGTAGCACAGTATCCTTGGCATCTATCATCTCCGTAGCATATATCATGAGCTTCCAATCCAAATCCCACTTTGCATTCAGAAGCATGTATCCAGTCTTTTCGTGCATTGCCATCACGCTCGTTGCGCGTCTGACCTCTTCATCAAAAAGCTTTCTTGCTGGCTCCTCCTTTTCTAGTACAATATCGACACTGGGAATTATCGCTTCGACATCCCAAGCCTTCGATCTTCGGACTATGACTTCGCTATTCCGGAAGCCGATGTTGGTTCGCCATAGGACTGGCGATCCGTGCTTCGTGCCCAAAAGAAATTCGCGCGGCCATATGAGTAAGAAGTAGTGGAAGTAATCGATCAAAAAACCCAGGAATCGGTTTAATATGGAGGAGAGTGTGAGAGGCGCGGTGGTGTCGTTCCTGGCGAAGGAGGTCGCGAGGGAGATGTAGAGAGGTAGCGTGTAGCTGATCCGCCACACGATGAGGGCAACTATGGCTAGGTTCGTAAGGACGGGTACGGCAAAAACTTTCTTTTTGAATGGTTGAGGGGAGGCATCGAGGGAGAGTAGATAGATGTGCTTTTGGGAAAGCTGGGATAATAGAGGTTCGAGTTGAGTCGCTGCGAGAGAGAATGGCGCCGGGGGCGTTGAAGAGCGCGGATTCTTGGGGGTGGAAGACGACTTGAATAATGCCTTTGAAGGCTTGCCTTTGGATTTCGGCGGCATTGCGAGGATGAAGAGTGAATCAATTGTTTATAAATTCAATCAATGTTCGAGTGGCGATGCCGTCAGCGGCTCTCACCGGAACATTTCCGCGCCGACTTTCGTTTGGACCTGGATGTCCCATAATAAATTTTGGGAACCAACGTCGCTTTCAGACGCTGAACTCCGACGTATCGCAAAAATGAGAGTCGGAAGGATATGGAGTGTAAGTTTACATATTTGAAGCGTGTAATTGTCAATGCTGATGCTTAATAGCAATCCCCTCGCTCTTCGATTTGCGCGTTTTGCGCCCATCGACTGGGACCAGCCAGGGCCCCGTCACATACCTCACGACGCTTCCTACAAACATCGAACTCGAAACTGAATTCATCGGCGGCTGCAGAAGCGCGCCAGTTTCAGGGTGCTGATGACAGAACACAGCTGCCCACGTCTCAGTCCGCAAAATCCAACTTCTCGACAGGGGGAGGATTCGGTCGGCCTACATTTGGCAGCCGGCCAGCATTTGGAAACACAGGCGGCGGGGGGGGTGGCGCGGTTGCCAAATCTGGACGTCCTGCATTTGGCTCGGGGAAGATTGAGTTGACTGACGATGAAAAGAGGTTGAGGGATGCGCTGAAGACACAAGGAGAGGCTGAGGGGCAAACCCAAGCCCGGTCAGGACCGCTAAAGATACGAAGACCAATTAAGGTATATGGTGGGGCTGGGCCTGAAGCATCAAGGGCAGGACGGCCACAGCTCCTCGATCGTGTACAGAATGCGGCAGTTATGGCGAAGGAGGCACGACTGGAAAGGGCGAGGCAAATGGGTGATGGGAGGCGAAAACGTAATGAGGCTCTACCTAAAGATACCGCAGATGGTACACCACGGTCCTGGAACCAGCTGAATAGGCGTATTTTAACCCAAGGCGGAGGCTCCGATAACATCTCCAAAGCTGGATCACAGGATGGCGAGCATCACGAGTCAAGGGGATATACGTCGCCCTCTGCAAGAAACCGATATACGCGCCAACAGCAGCAACCCGAATTTTCTTCCCACAGGCAAATCTCTATAAACAAGTCGTTTTCAGAAGCGTCTGCGCCAGGACTTACACCGGACCCCCCGTTAACTACTTGGCGAGCTGCACCCCAGAAAGTCGAACCTGAGCTTAGCCCGGCGGTACTAAGGTTACGACAAGAGGAAATAGAGAGAGCAGCGGAACTAGAGCAACGACAGAAACTACGTGAGCAACGCCCACTGCAGCGCTCGGCCGAACACTTGACGTCGTCTTCCCGTGAAAGCGAAAACCTTGGCTTCAAGGGCCGTGGTAAAGACAAGAACAAAGATCGCCGAAGGGAAGAATTTGCCACAGAAGAGGACAACCACGTAAACGCTGTCGCCGACCGAAAGGCAGAACTAAAGAAGGAAAGGAAGGCGGCGAAGGCGGCGAAGAAGGCTGCTGCACCTGCCCCGGTGCTATTGCCGGAATATATCAGCGTTGCGAACCTAGCCACGGTGCTGAAGGTTCGCTTAGAACATTTCGTCGAGAAGATGGAGGAGTTGGGCTTCGAGGAGACGGGAACTGACTACGTTCTCAATGGCGAAACTGCTGGACTCATCGCCCAAGAGTATAACTTTGAGCCGCTCATTGACCGCAGCGAGTCGGAAGACTTGAAGGCTAGACCAGCTGCTGAGGATCCGTCAATTTTCCCTCAAAGAGCCCCGGTCGTGACGATTATGGGACATGTTGATCATGGGAAAACTACGATCCTAGATTACCTGCGAAAATCTTCTGTTGCGGCAGGTGAAGCAGGAGGTATCACTCAGCACATTGGAGCCTTTTCAGTGTCTATGCCATCCGGAAAGGTCATCACATTCTTAGATACCCCAGGTCACGCGGCATTCCTCAATATGAGACAACGAGGTGCAAACGTCACGGATATTGTCATCCTTGTCGTTGCAGCAGACGATAGTGTCAAACCCCAGACGATTGAGGCAATTAACCACGCTAAGGGCGCTCGCGTCCCCATAATCGTCGCCATTAACAAGATAGACAAGGAAGACACCAACATAGATCGCGTCAAGCAGGATCTCGCTCGTCACGGCGTGGATGTTGAAGATTACGGAGGCGATACCCAAGTTGTATGCGTGAGCGGGAAAACGGGACAGGGCATGGATGAGCTTGAAGAAGCTGCCCTCACTCTCTCAGATGTTCTCGATATGCGGGCCGACACTAAAGGTGCAGCTGAGGGCTGGGTCCTAGAAGCTAGCATCAAATCAATGGGCAAGGTTGCCACGGTTCTAGTCCGGTGCGGCACGATGCGTCCGGGCGACTTCATCGTCGCGGGAAAGACCTGGGCACGCATCAGGTGCATGCGCAATGAAGCAGGCGTTGAGATTACAGAAGCTGGCCCAGGAACCCCAGTCGAAATCGACGGGTGGAAAGAGCAGCCGCTTGCTGGCGACGAGGTTCTCCAGGCACGTACGGAACAGAAGGCAAAGAGCGTGGTGGATTACCGAGTTGAGAAGGAAGAGCGCGATCGCTTGGCAGAGGATATGGAGGCTATTAATGAAGACCGCAAGATGACGCATGAGAAGAGAACGAAGGAGAAATTGGAACTCGAAGCCTCGAAAAGGCGCACCGCTGAAGAGAATGCCGAGCATACTGCCCTAGAGGAGGTTCTCGAAGAAGAGCATGGGCCGAAGCAGGTCTATTTCATCCTTAAAGGCGACGTCTCTGGATCTGTCGAAGCGGTTACTGACAGCATCGCTGCAATCGGCAACAGCGAGATTCGGCCGGTAATATTGCGTTCGGGCGTCGGCCACCTCTCCGAGTTCGACGTTGAGCACGCGGCGGTTGCGAAGGGATTTTTGATCTCGTTCAACAACCCCATCGACCCTATGATCCAGAAGAAGGCCGATGCGGCAAAGGTCAAAATTCTAGACCATAACATTATATACCGACTTGTGGACGACGTGAAAGGAACATTGTCGGAGTTCTTGCCGCCGATTGTGAGCCATAAGGTCTTGGGAGAGGCTGAGGTCGCGCAGGTGTTTAATATTACGATTAAAGGACGCAAACAGAAGCCGATTGCAGGGTGCAGGATACGCAATGGAGTTGTGGGACGTAACAGCAGGGTTCGGGTGTTCAGACAGGGAAGAAAGGTTTTTGATGGTGAGTTTGATATACCCGGCTGCTTTATTTTCTATCTAGCGGGAAAAACTAACAAAATCCAGGTGAACTTGAGAGTTTGAAGAACGTCAAGAAGGATGTCGCTGAAGCTAGGAAGGGTGGTGAGTGTGGTATGAGCTTCGAGGGCTGGAATGAGTTCGAGGTTGGTGACCAGGTCCAGTGCTATGAGGTGAAGGAGGAAAAGAGGTTTTTGTAAGATGGAGAATGCTGTACGATGCGTTGTAACATATAGAGTCGCTATAATTTGTGTAAGTAGAAACGAAACGATAGGCACCGGGTGGATTTGGAAGACTATCCATAGCATAAGGGCACTGGAGGAGTTTGGGACACATACTGTACATATAGATAGAGACTGAGATAATTCTCCGCTGCGCAAAAAGGCCATTTCCAAGAACCATAAATGCCCGGCCAGCTGCAGTTCCCATCCTCTTCTCACGTCCGGCGGATCGCTATTGTTCTCGGCGGACCCCAAATACCACAAAAATCCTTCCAAGCCTCCCTAATCCCAGCATCCCTCTCCCGCTCTTTAGCACCCTTTTGGTCTATCACCACGGCCAGTGCAATTCTCATTCGGTCCACCTGGACGTTTGATGCTATTAGGTCCGTTATCTGTAGTATTCTTCTTTCTAGCTCCGCAACAGGATTCACGTGTGTTGGCGGCGGAAACTCGGCAAAGTAGGCGGCTCTTTCGGCATTGACTTTGTCACATTGGACACAACGTGGGATTGAGCGGTTAACTGAACTGGGCGAGACTGAAGGAAATACAGATTCCAAGGTCTCGATCGACGGAGGGAAATAGAGTGTATCGGAGCATCTTGGACATCTGCTTGAGGTCGAGGCGAGAGGAATGGAAGAGAGAGCTTCAGAGGATGAAGAGTTCGATGAGTGTGCCATGCTGGATGGATGCTCGTCTGGGAATTAATGCTGTAGGTGCCAATGGTGACGAAAGGAGGGTTGTCTTGACGGAAGGGAAAGGTGACGATTTATAGATACTGGCAATTATTGGAAGATAAAGATATAACAAAGAGACTCAAACGAGGCGGAGTGAGTCGAATAATAGTAGATAGTTCACGAGGGGAATCTTTTGTCCAACAAAAGGCCATCGTCCAACAAAGGTCATAGAGGCAAACAAAAGAAGCCCCAACATGGACAAGGTCGTTGACCGGTATTTCCTTCCGTACCAATGTTGGTAATTGCTAGCCACCTTGGAGGCCAAATTTATTCCGTGGTTCTTTCCTCAGACTATATAACTTGCCTTTTGCTGAGATTATTCCTACTGACCCTCGTTTATGAAGTAGTCAGCGTTATCTGATGCTGACTGTATTGGTTGTCAGTGATCCAGTAGCCCAGTTGACCCCCGTCAGACATAAACCAGCCATGGTCTTACCCTCTGTATCTCACACAGATGGTAATTAAAGACCGAAACAAGTAATTATTTCCCTTTCATTCATGCCCGTCGGGACTACTCGATTAACGTTCCAACAACGGGGGCGCTGGTTACTCGACCCAACGTTCCAGGTCGAAATGTCTACACTGCCCAACAACATATCGACCTTGACATTGCCCGTGTTGTATTCTGTCTTGGGGTAGAGGTCATATGCCATGTAATGTTGGTAGATACGTAAAGTACGTTCGACCCATCCTAGACAGAGTTAATGAGGCCTATTTTCGCTGTTGGGGATAGATAAAGTACCAAAGCTGCCAACACTCGTTGTATACTACATGAATAGCCCAAAGCAATCTCTATTCGATGTTGTCCTGGCAGCGTCAATAGGCGCCGACGGCCTCGGCCACCAAAAGTAGTAGTCGGTTCCCAGTTCTATAGCCAGAATTTGAGAACAACATAAAGTATTTTGACTCAAGCCCGGCGTAATATCACAGCTTAGAGATGTCGCTTCAGTTGTATTTGAAGCGCGCGCAAGCATGGCGCCATGGTGGGCTTCAAACATTCAAACAACCAACCTTGAGGTCTGTTTGATACTGGCGAGGCTGAGGCGAGGCTGAGTTGGTCTCTCCAAGCGCTCAACCAACTTACCCCTCAAAACACAATTCTAACTGTATCTGATTAGCGCATCTCTAGTATGTGATCAGATCGATCATGGGCAAACGCTGAAGGCGGTCTGTCGCCTTAAGTTAGTCGCGCGCCTGGTCTCAAACGCGGTTTCTTCGCCTACGAGCGCGTTCGATCTCACCACATTCCCACCCACATCAACCTAAGACAACCAATATCAAATTCTGTTCCACTATAACTCATCTTCTGCATCCGCAACTTTGTACAAGCTGTACAGTTGTACAGCCAGCTATTTGACACGATGTCTGTGGTTTCATTGCTCGGCGTTAATGTTCTCAACAACCCCGCCAAATTCGGCGATTCGTATGAGTTTGAGATCACTTTCGAGTGTTTGGAGCAACTCCAGAAGGGTTGGTCTCTCCCATTCAATACATGCAATATCAGACGATTCAAAACCACAAACCCTCACTAACATCCCGTAATAGACCTAGAATGGAAGCTCACCTACGTCGGCTCTGCCACCTCGTGCGTTACCCCTTCCCAACTCCACCCTTCGGCCACTAACGTCCTCAGTGACGAGCACGACCAAGAACTCGACTCCCTCCTCGTCGGCCCCATCCCCGTCGGCGTCAACAAGTTCATCTTCGAAGCCGACCCACCGGACACCAAGCGCATCCCCGACGCTGAGATCCTCGGCGTCACCGTCATCCTCCTCACCTGTGCCTACGATGGCCGCGAGTTCGTCCGAGTCGGATACTACGTCAACAACGAATACGACTCCGACGAGCTCAATGCCGACCCGCCGGCGAAGCCACTCCTCGACCGCGTCCGCAGGAATGTGCTCGCTGAGAAGCCCCGCGTCACTCGCTTTGCGATTAGATGGTTTGCGTACACCCCACGACGCGTTCGAAATAACAAGCTAACTGGTTTTTTAGGGACTCGGAGGAGTCTGCACCTGCTGAATTCCCACCTGAGCAGCCAGAGGCCGACTTGGTAGCCGATGGTGAGGAGTACGGCGCCGAGGAGGTTGAGGACGAAGAGGAGGAGGAAGAAGCTGCCGAGGGATCTGGTGAGGCTAGCGGCACTGCCGAAGGCGATGATGAGGCTATGGCTGGCGTTGAGGGAGTGGCCCCAACTGAGGAGGAAGACGATGAGGGAAGCGAGGATCTCGAGGGCGAGAGCAGCGGCAGCGAAGCTGAGGAGGATGAGGAGGAGGAGGGTGAGGGCGAGGCTGATGATGGCATGGAGGTTGACGAGCCTGAGAAGGCAGCCAACGGCTCCAAGGTGGCTGTGTCTGACGCCGTCATGTCCCATTAGCGGAAAAGTTACGATACCCCCCTACGCCGTTTACTGGACGAAAGGATGTAATAACTTCTTTACGGAATCTTGTTCTTTAGATGGGTTCGGATTTACCGCTTGGAGTATTTCAGCGTAGAGTCTTTGATGTTTTGAGCACAATTCATCATTCTAAATGTGCTTACTTTACATGACCTTGTGCATGCTCAGGGCTACATTCGTGTTTCAGCACCAGGGAAATGTACAATATGAGTTCAACATGTGGCATGTTGGCTTAATGTCATTTTTATTCATAAAATCATTTCCTTTAAACGCACAGTCAACGCTAGAATCCGTGCAACCATTTTCTGGTCGAGACATGCTCAAACTGGTCCCTTGCCAGTCCTCTATTGGCACCCCAGTCCCGCAGTCCCTGCTTTTAAAAGAACTTCCCAGCCACAGACTTAAACAAAATATTCCTCTTCTGCTTGCTCACAAACTTGCTCGCATCATCCGCCCACCCGGCACTGCTCTCATGTGTACGCTCCATCGTATCACCCATAACACCCAGCTGCTCCGTCCTCTCATTAAACTGTCTCGTCATATAATCACCCCAGCCCTCCGTTTTGGCACTAGGTCCTGGCCGTGCTTGGTTCGACGCTCGCTGCTCCTCGGCCGCCGCCGCCATCATACGCTTGCTAGGCGGGCGATCCGGCCCTCCAATGAGTAAATCCAGGTCTGTGGGACTGACATACATCGTCCCTGAGATCCACTGCATGTTGGAGATCGTCGGTCGCGGCGGGATAAGTGCCTCGATATTGAACAGCCGGTCATCAGAGCGCGCGAGTGGCTGCCCGGTGCCCCAAGCGTTCAGCATCGCAAGCTCGGAGGGACCGGCCCAGCCGAATATGTCGCCTGAGGGCGTGACGATGCTGCTTGAGATGCGGGATTTGTCGAGCATCGGCAGGTTCTGCACACCTAGCTCTTTGAGGGCGGGGATAGAGTAGGCGCGTGCGGTACCGTCACCGAAGACACCAACGATGGCGTAGCCGTGGAGGAGGAAGTGGGTTACTGATGCGGCGTGGCACATGACTGTCGAATCATCCCAAGTTTTCTGCGCTCCCTTCGCGGTAGCCGGTTTGAAGACCCGTACTTCAGCTTCGGTGACTGCAAAATTGGGTTAGCCCCTTGTAATACTACTATCAAAGGGGTAAATAACGTACCGACTACAAGCATTCCAGGGATGATTCGTCCTTCGCGGAGTGATGCTACTGTGGGACCATCGGCTACAGCTGGCTGTCCAGAAGTTGCGATAATCGGGCAGATGGAGACAACACGGTCATTCAGCTGTGAGACTCCCGCAAACTGTGCCGTGTAGCCTCCATTGGGCTGCGGCAGAATCTTAAATGTAGCTACTCGCCCCAGGTTAGTGCCAACGAAGCAGCATATGCTTGAATATTCGTCGTTGTCGAGGGTCAAGACACCAAAGGCAATCGAGACAGCCCAGTCAGCTTGGGGTCCACCGTGGCTGCTGCTTCTGTTGAAAAGGCTACCTCTTTTTTCTTGCTTCGCAAAGTCATTTAGAGAACCGTCAAATATTATTGCTGGGCCCCGAAGATCGATAATCGCGAAAGTGCCATCTTCTGATCCAACGCTGATGAAGCCCACATCAGACATCTTCAACGCAGAAATAGGCCCATGAGCCATGTTATAAAGAACAAACGGTTGCAAGCCCTCCCTCAACCCAGGCTCGACTCTGTCGCTAATATTCTCGATGGTTCCTGGCCTGACAGCAACAGGAGGGGGGGGCTCAAACCCCTTGAGTTTGTTTCCACCCCACCTATAAATGGCAACCTCACCTGACTTCGTGCCAACAGCCATCTCTCCGGTTTGGCCAGCCATATTTATGGCCGTGATTTCAATGTTTTCATACCGTCCAAGTGATCGAGCTACATCAATCTGAAGAACCCCGCTATTCTCCAACTTGTCCGAGGTTCCTGCATCCCAGATTCGAACTGTGCCATCGCCATGTGCTGTCTGTATGATTGTCCTGTCTTCGTGTTTGCGGACGCTTTTGCTTCCTCCCACGCCGCCACGCAATATGGGGGGACCTTGCTGACGTTTCTCCGTCATTCCTAGCCACCTAGTTCTATTGACGGTTGTGACTGAACATGAAACAACAAATGGATGAACAAATGTCAGCGACGGGTGCAGCTGGTTAGTGGGCGATATAGGATGCCCACTGGGAAATGATAGTGTAATAAGCTCCCCTGATGACAATAAGGCGATGACAGCAATAGGATCTTGTGCGCCGTCAAAATGAGGTGAGGCGCGAGGGATAAGGCAGTAATCAATGACCTCTGCACCGGCCGGTGTCTCGAGGAGCTTCTGCTGTTTTCCCTTGAAATGGTCGGTTAAAGTTTGCCATGACGAAGTTGCATAAACCGGTGTAGGACCAAGCTCCAAAAATGTAAGTCCCTTAGTTTGCGCAGACATTGGAACCCCACCGCCGATTAACAAGCCCGTGTCATCAGGGTTGGTCTTCGCACACCATGAAATCTTAGAATACGGCTCTTTAATAGACAGGCCCCCTTTGGAGCCACCAGGCTTGTTACCTGGCTGATCTACGTGTAGATCGTCTAGAGTGCGAGCCATGACAACTCTACAATCCTTTGGATCCCAGAAAACAAGGCTGCCATCTTCATGTGCCGTAAGAACAAATGTCCCAGTTGGATGCCATAAACACTGTGTGAGCCGGGGCCTGCGGGCATCTCTAACGACGTTAGGGTCGGAGGCACCCCCTGGGGCGCCGGGTGGAACTTCATACTGAAAGAACTTCGTAGCTTTTGCCTCTTTGAATGAATAAATCACGGCACCTTCTGTGTATCCAATAAGAAGCTGGCCAATATCCCTGGGGTGTAATTGCAAGGTAACAACAGATAGAATCCGAGACCTCGGACTTCTCTCACGCCAAAAGTTTGGCAATCGGAGCGGCGCTGCCCTCTCACGGTCAAGATCAAACGCAACAATTTCGCCCTGTTGTAGTCCCAGGAATGCCCAGTCAAGCATAGGATCTGTTGCCAGGCATGTAACTATGCCAGGTGCTGTGTAGCTGCAGATCTTCTTGCCGCCTCCGATTAGGTCCCAAACCGTCAGCTCATTCTTCGTGTCAAGGCTCAGCAATTTGTCTGCACAGAACCGCAATTCTTTGACCGATGCTCGCCGAGACAATTTAATTGTGACTTGGACTCGGTCCCTGCCGAATATATAGATTTGTCCACTTCCATACTGTGATTCGTTTGTGCCAACTGCCAGCAGTGATTGCACCGGGTCGTACGCAAACGTACTGCGGAACGGGTGGAATCAGTTACCAGTCCAGATATGAGCATTAGTAAAGCGGATTACCTTATTTGTGAGTTGATGCCATATCGAGCTTCGTCGTCAATTGTAAACAGTCCGGGCAAGATAGACGCAGACAGGTCAGTCTGCATGCCAGACTGCTTGGACCGGATAAAGGCGGCCATAGTGGGCTAGTTCTCTGGTATATCACCCGTATATGGTTTTCGAATACTCTGGTCTTTAATCTGTATTCTTTTTGTGTGAGGAATCGATTTGTCTGCTTGATGCAACAAAGCATAAAGGCCAAGGCGACATGTGGTTCTTGGTGATCCGACAATGTACAGTACAGTACGTAACTGCCCCGCGGGGAAACGGCACAAGGCTGGAGCCGTAGCCCCTGCTGTCTCGGCCTTGCGCCAAGCGTGTTGGCGACGTTTTATGATCTAAGAAGCCAGAGAATAACTGTGCGAATGCTAAATATATTAATAATAAATCTAAGAGACTCCGTCTTTGTATTTTGAGCTGATTGTACTTATGCTCATCTTCACAAGCTCACATTTTCCACGACGGCAAAATAATCAGATGATTCATAAATAAATGGCGTAGAACCTATTAAAGTCAAATAAATCACAACGAATAACCTTCTCCCTTGGGTTTACAAGACAACAGTGTCAGAAAATACCTTTGGCGTGGCATAGCAACTAGAGGCTAGATTTGAGATGAAGGGATAAATTCTTGGTCCGAATTAAGAGGTGGATAGGAAGAAACAGGACGAGAAAGATAATAACTGGCCGAGACGACCGCCCCACGAAGCACTGGCATCAGCACCGTCCACCATTATTTGTCATAGTAAATCTCATATAGTATAATCTATGTAAGAGAACGTATGCGAGATCGTTATCCACTCTCCCACGATGATAATTCCAGCAGGCGGCTGGTAAAAGTTCTGTTGAAGATGTCTGGAGGACCCAAGCTTTCGCCTTGTGGGCCTCTCGAACTAATCTAAGAACAGCAGCAAGTTTACTTCTTGACAACCTTCTTCTTGGTGGGACCCATGGCAGCCTCCTTCCTCTTCTGCTCACGGGCCTCGATTTCCGCCTTCTTGGCCTTATCAGCCTCTTCGCGCTCTTCCTTCTCAGCCTAGAACCGGTTAGTATCGTGGGTATCAAATCGGTATCATCGTCTATAACGTACCTGCTTCCTCGCAGCCTCTGCCTCTCTCTTCTCCTTAATCAGCTTCAGTCTTGCCAAATCAGCCTTCGCTTCATCGGTCTTGCCAGCCTCATGCATCTTCTGATATCTCTCCTTGGCCTGCTGCGCTTGTAACGCCTCCCTCTCGCGTCTGCTCAACTCGCCAACTGGCTTTGGCTTGCCCTTGCCGCCGACGCTAAGGCCCTTGACACCGTCGGCAGCCTCGTCCACACTGATAGGTGGTGCGCTCGCCTGGTTCCTGGCCGCCTTGCTATGGTTGGGGTTCGCAGGCATATCGTCATCCTCGCTATCCTCCTCTTCCTCCGAGCTGCTTGGAAGATCGCCGGGCTGTGCCACGGTGTTCTTCTTCTTCGCGATAGCAGCCTCTTTCTTGGCCTTAGCAGCGGCACGGCGCTCCTCACGGGTCATCTCGGGCTTGTTGGCGTCTTCCTCGCTCTCCTCTTCAGAGTCGCCCTCCTCTTCTTCCTCAGAGGATTCGGCAGCCTCAGCGCCTTCACCCCACATTCCGAGCTCGTTTCCATCGGCATCGAGAGGTCGTAGGTTCTTCGAGAAGTGCTTGCCGCCTGTAGAGAAGGGTGGATGGTCAGCTGGTAAAAAGAGAGAGGGATACAGGCTGAGTTGATGGTAACTAACCTCCGCGAGTGAACTTCTTGAACTTTCCGCCACGTCCTCTGCTGCTGCTTCCTGGGGGTCCTCCTGGCGCCATTTTCGGTCGTATGAGGAAGTATTTGAAATAGAAAGTGTGTTGTAAGTTTCAAACTTGAGAGAGAATAACAGTCAAAGAACTGGCCGTGTTAGTTTTGAAGTGAGGTGGTATTGTTTACCTGTTTACTTGCTTTTGCTTTCGTTTTGGCGTGAATCACAGTTGCTGCCCGAAAAGGAGGGGTAGTTCACCGCCCCTCCAACCTGTGTTTTCAAAAAGCGCCAAGATGCATTTTCGCGCCATCCCGAATCTGGCTCTAGGGCACATGCCTCGCGCCAAGACATCACACGTGATGAGCCGAGTGAAATTTCCGACTATTTAATCTTCCCTAATCTCTCGCTCTTCTTTCTTCTCCACATAAAACTATAATCCTTCATATTCACTCTGTTCCTTTCTTCTCAGTGGAGGCTTAGAGGGGAAATGACAGGAAAGAATACATTCCATTCTGCGTCGACTATCTATCCTTGAGTTTTGGCGTGCAAACGCGTAGGCTGGAGATTGATGGCTGGCGGTACATTCTTGCTACAAGACACCCCTTTTTGATATGAGGATTTGTTGGCTACCAATATTCTGATACCAGCATTAAAAGTAAACATCTATAAGTAAACGTCTATAATGAAATCCGAAGAAGAATACAGACTGTTACATATCTCTTGTTGCTCAGCATCGCGTTTTTGACATGCTGTTGTCCTCGGAACTTTCCTGGCAACTTTCACGCCTGATATGCCCTCCAAAGAGGCTCCGAACTTCGTCTTGACCTGGAGATATTGAAGATACACCTGATACATCCATCTGTAGAGTACCATTGCAACGTTCCTTCCCTTCTGTTTGCCCATAAAAAACTTCGCTGGTGGTGTTGATTGTCCTAGCAGTATTTGTATTGGAGGCATTTTATTGGCTGATTTGATTTGAGCCTCTCAACACTTAGTAAGCAGCTGTCATTGATTGGAGATGAATGTTGCGCCTCAAATTGCTTCGTGACAACTTCTTTGACGATATCAACTTCACAGCTTCTAGACTGAAATACCGAATCTATTCAGTTTTGATTTACTTTGAGCTAACGAACAGACTCTGCGACAAGATCAATTTGCGATGACTGCTGCTGTTATTACGCGCTTCTAGTTGCCAAACTCCCGTATGATTTCATCTCTTCCTCCAAACCACCGAGATCATATCAGCTAATGAACAACAGGCCTCGAACTACGTACCCTTTCAAGAACATTTTTCAATTGGCAGTATGGCGGAGGATGATGCGGAGATTGCGCTGTTGCATCAGATGCAGAGTGGGCAAGAGAGCGTTTCGTGGGGACAAGGCGCAGATGATACAGAAGAGGGTGTTGATGCTACAAATACAGAAAATAGCGACCAACCTGTGAAAGAAGAAGAAAAAGATTTCTCCGATGATCAAGTCCTTTGTGCTTTATCCCCATCTGATGCTCTGTCTGATGGCGAAGAATATAACCCGGAATCAGCCAATCCAATTCCAAGTCACACAACTACGAGTCTAGCTGGCACGGGGCCTCCATCGAGAGCGTCTCCGGCGCGGAAGTCCAAGACCATTGGTGGGTTTTTGGCGGATGAGTCTGACGACGAAGATGATGTTGAGATTGCGACGTCAAAGTCGGCTACACTTCTCCAGCTCCCGACCAGTGGTCCAACTCGCTCTGTGTCAAGATCTCCTCTACACCTCGAAGCTGTGCCTCAAGACTCTGCAGCTCAAACCCCTGTTCCAGCTTTGGAGACTCTTAACCCTCTAGGTGATGGTGAACAAACTAGCGCTGGTGTCTCCAATCAAGCTTCTACCCCCAACGCCTCAGCAACTGTCACTGCACCAATCGCAGGTACTAGCTTACCCAAAGCACGACTTCCCCATGATAGAGTAGGTATCTTAGAGGACCGAATCAAGGAAGATTCAAGGGGCGACTTGGATGCCTGGCTATCTCTCATCACAGAACACCGAAACCGCAATAAGCTGGATGATGCTCGGGTTGTCTACGACCGGTTTTTCAAAGTGTTCCCTATGGCGGTATGCAATCCAACCCCCAGGTTCTTATATCTCTAGGAATTTTCGCTAACATCAATGCCAGGCTGATATTTGGGTCGCATATGCTGAAATGGAGTTGGGCATTGACAACTTCTTCGCTGCGGAGCAGATCTTCGGCAAGTCGCTACTCACAGTACCCCATGTCCAGCTATGGTCCGTCTACCTCAATTATATTCGCCGCCGCAATGACTTAACCAACGACGTTACTGGATCTGCACGGGCGACCATATCACAGGCATATGATTTTGTGCTGGCAAACGTTGGTATTGATAGAGACTCGGGCAAAATCTGGCAAGAATATATTCAATTCATCCGCAGCGCCCCTGGACAGATTGGAGGCAGTAGCTGGCAGGACCAGCAAAAAATGGATCAAATGCGCAAAGCTTATCAACGTGCCGTTTGCGTCCCAATGTCTAACGTAAATGCTCTATGGAAAGAGTACGACCAGTTTGAGATGAGCCTGAACAAGATTACTGTGCGTTCAAGTCTATGAAGTGGTTAATAATCGCAGCTGACATGTATTTAGGGCCGGAAATTCCTCCAGGAAAAGTCTCCATCGTACATGACAGCAAGAAGCGCAAACACTGCGATGGAAAGAATTACACGCGGCCTTGTGCGTACTAATCTTCCACGCCTCCCTCCGGCACTCGGGTTTGAAGGGGACAAGGAGTACTTGGAGCAGGTTGGCTTTTGGAGAAAGTGGATCAACTGGGAACAAGAGGATCCTCTAGTCTTCCGAGACGAAGATATTCAAGCCTACAAACAGAGAGTCATTTACGTCTACAAACACGCGGTTATGGCATTGAGGTTCTGGCCAGAGATGTGGGTCGAAGCTGCAGAATGGTCCTTCAACAACGGCATGGAGAAAGAAGGCAACGATTTCCTAAGCCAAGGGATTGCTGCAAACCCAGAGAGCTGCCTTCTGGCTTTTAAACAGGCTGATCGCTTGGAGACCATGCTGCCGATGGAGGAAGGGGAAGAAGGCCTTGTCAGCAGAGGAGCTGCCGTCAGGGCTCCATACAATACACTGCTTGACGCGTTGTACGATTTAATTAAGAAGCTGAAAACTCGCGAAAATGCAGAATTGGCTAGAATCCAAGAGTTTGCAATGCTGGATTCATCCGCCATCCCTGCCTTTGATAGGGTGGACGATGATGAGGATGATACCGACAGACTACTGAAGGAGGCGAAAGAATCCGCTCGAGACAACCAACTGAAGATTGTGAAACAAGGATACCACATGCAGTCGGAACTGACGCAGCGCACGCTGTCATTTGCATGGATCGCTCTTATGAGAGCTATGCGAAGAGTACAGGGCAAAGGCAAAGTCAATGCCCCTGTTGGTGGCTCACGCCAGATTCTGAGCGATGCCCGTGTCAAAGGGAAGATTACTAGCGATGTATACATCGCTAGTGCTTTGATTGAGCACAACGTATACAAAGATCCGGCTGGGACAAAGATATTCGAGAAGGGCGCAAAGTTGTTTCCAGAAGATGAACTATTCATATTGGAATACCTCAAGCACCTGTTGTCGATTGGCGACACTACAAGTATGTATACGGAGAAATTCAGACTGTTGGCTTATTCTAACAATTCATAGATGCTAGAGCCGTCTTCGAGACATCCGTGAATCGACTCACCCAGAAACTTGAAAACGTTGCGAAAGCCAAGCCACTCTACGTGTTTTTCCACAAATATGAGTCTGAATATGGCGAACTTTCTCAAATCAACAGGCTGGAGCAGCGAATGGCGGATTTGTTCCCAGACGACCAAAGACTCGCGAGGTTCTCATCGCGCTACTCATCTGAAAGATTCGACCCTACTGTTGTCCGCCTAATCATCTCACCAGTGGCACAGATGCGTCCAAAGTCTATCATGCAGTCTATCGAAGAGCCGATTTCGGTGCAGCCGAGCCCAAGGCCGCAATACAGGGAGATTAGCCCCCGCCCACAGCCTCGACAGGAGGCTAACCCCATCCCGGCTTATTTACAGCCAACAAACTCTCCAAAGCGTCCGCTTGGAGGTGAAGAATCTGACAACGAGTCTGGCCGCCCAAGGAAGCTTGTTCGTGGGGAGTCACCCCTGAAAGGAGCTGCAGGTCGCCGCCTGGACCAACAGAAGAGGATGCAGCAGACTCATGGTGGTGTTCAACAGTGGCAATCCAATGGTGCGGCACAGTTCATGATTCCCAGGGATATCACATTTTTGCTCAGCATCATCCCACGGGCAGAGACATATAATGCCACGCTGTTCAACGCAGAAGCTATGGTACGACTACTGGACAAAACACCCATTCCAGATTACAGCGCTTGGAAGGCGTCGCGTGACCAGGCGCCAAGGTATTATTAAGGAGGGACGGGGCTTGTATGTTGACAGGATTTACGGTGAATTGAGGGCACAGACGATCTGTGGATTTGTATCATATGAGGGAGATTTGGGACTGAAGATGGCCAGCGTGGAGTTGTCTAGGCAGTTGTTATCCAGGAAAGGTGTACTAGTGTCGCATAGCCAAATGAAATCAGCAACTCTGGTATTGTTAATTTTTTATTGCTTCATTTGTGATGATTCCCAATGCAATTATGATATGTTCAAGAAAGCTTACGTCAAGAAATTCTCAGACAAGAGAAGACAACCGTGTTCACTTTAGTCCCGTGGTTGTTATATTTTCGTATCTGTTGCCTTCATGAGGCCCAAAACAGGAATAAGGACAGACGAAAGTCTCAATTCCAAATGTAAGGCAGGTGCTCTTTTTCATATACTCAATCCATTTTCTAGAACTCAGTCTTATTTCAAGACTCTCATTGCCCTGTGATATCACATTGGTCTCTTGCGATACCTCGGTTATTAGGCCTCTCAGTTCCAGATTCAGCAGGCACGCTATCACACCCCCATCCTTCCTTCCTTCCTTTCTTGTTATCCTCAGGCTTCCTCATCAATTGAAGGAGGTGAATAGTAAGGAAACTACGCTAATAGCTTAGCGCCATTGGAGCCGAATACCTTGTTGTTGAGCCCCTTTGTCCATAATCCTTTTCTTCTACTGCTTCCTCTCTTCCTTTTTCCTCTCTTCCTTTCTTCCTTCCCATATTTCGCTCTTTGCCCTCTACCTCTAGGGGCTCAAACCCAACCAACACTCACTGTTCTTCATCATATTTACAAATCTCAGTCAAGATAAGCCCTCCAACTACCCTCTTGCCTGCTTCAGGCTTCAACTCCGTGTCAGGACTTGTGCAGGCCTGTTGCAATACACAACAACCCACACAATAACTCACACAACAACGCAAACAACCCAAACACCAACTCAAACAGACACGCCATAGTTCACACGCTGAGCAATTGTAAGATCTGCAACTCTGCAACTCACTTGCTCCTGACAATATATGCTAACCCGATTGGTGATTTAGGTGATCCAGGCAAGCCTCAACACTCAGAACGCACACAACTTCGAACTGAGAGCTGAAACTCTCATTTTGATTTGATCCAAGTGAGTTTCTATTCCAACCTATAGCTAGAAAACATCACTTGATGTCCATTGGGTTTTATGGCTACTGGGATACAATCTTTTCATATCAAGCTGAGACGGATCATCTGATAAGCTATTCTAACAAAGGTCACAGGAATATCTGTTTGTCGCCTGACAAATAACTCTGCAAGATGTCAATGGCATTTCCAGAGCGTCCCCTTCATGGGCGAGTCGAGCTTCCCGTCCAATGGATTGTGAATGGAGATGGAACGGTAAGTTTTCAACTTTTATTTCTATCTTCCATCTGTAACTGCCTTCGATTTGTCTTCGGGATCACCATGTACAAACTGTTTCTATCGTTACTCCATACTGCGTGCTACCCCACAAGCCCCGTTGTTTTCTTTTGGGTCGTTTGCCATACCTGATATGAGCTTTCATACCCGTTTCCCAGTCGCCCGAGATGAGGAAGCATCGCACATGCATCATCATGTGGGACTTGGAATTGGCAAGCGCCATTCTCATATTCTACTGCCGAGTGTAGGCGCATATTGCCTTGCCATGCTACCGACTCCAAGTATCAACACTCAATAGTCGGGCAACTACCTGGCAATTTCGGGGGTATATATTCTGGGCCACGCCCGACTTCCGTCCTTCTTCCTTCTTCCTTCCTACATATCACACACCTTGACCAAGAACCGAGCCCGTCGAAAATATCCTTTCATACATCCATACATTCATACACTCAACCCATTCATCCTTTCAAACATTGCTATACACATCATCAGCCCAAAAAATTCATCAATAACCTGTGGTATCACTCTGTGATATCACAACTACCACATCTCGTATTTATCTCCAGTATCCTTTGCCTCATTCTTATCCCAAGTTATCTTTATTCAACTCGACCTCATCATGGAGCCAGGTCATCTGTGGACGTATAACCGCGAGTCTAACGTGAAGAAGTTCGAGTTCCCACCAGTCCTTCCACCTCGACCCAGCTACAATTCCGACCCCGGAGCAAAGAGTGTCACCCTCAGAGTGAACCAGTTCCGAATTTCTGAGTGGTCAGACAAGTCGGTCTGGCAGTACGATGTATGTTAACCTCACTTTCAACTGAAGCTATTCACATTAACCCCATACCAGGTGAAGATTGGAACTGGAGCCGAGAATCGCGGTCTCCTCAAGGTTGTCTGGAACAGCAAGCCCGTCCAGGAGTTCTTGTCCGGTCATGCGAAATACTGGCTCTGGGATGGGAACAAAATCGCATGGTGCGACAAGCCAACCAAGAAGATGAACTTCGAGAAGAAGATCACGGTGAACCTGGATGAGCTCAAGAACAGACAGCCCCGAGTCATCAATGGCGTCCCGAAACCGGACATCACATTTGTCACCATCAAGTGCACGACAGAAATCCCCATGGGAGTTATTCGAGCCTATCTGTTCAAGGGAATGGATTTCGACAACACCGTCCTCATGGCAATCAACTTCTTGGACCACTGCCTTCGTCAATGGCCATCGGAGAACTTCATCCAAGTTAAGCGTTCTTTCTTTCCGAGAGGCACTCAAAGGCAGGTTCTTCATGGCCTGGCCACACTCATCGAAGCACAAAAGGGTGTTTATTCATCCATTCGCCTTTGCGAATCTCCTAGTACTCCGGGTGCCTTGAGCACAGGTCTTGGTGTCAATGTTGACGTCGCCAATGGGACATTCTGGGTGCCACAGCTTCTAAGTCAGGCAGCTCGAAACTTGACTTACGAGCGAAACACTGGCTTGAACTGGGATCAGTTCTCGGAGAGTCTGAGACCTGTCGTTGTGAACGGCAAAAAGACCAGCTCTGGTGCTCAGTACCACATCATGTCGAGGGAATTCAAGGAGCTTCGCAAGCTCCACAAACTTCGATTCCACATCAAGCACCGCGGAAAAGAGCAAAACGAACGTGTCTATCAGGTCAAGAACTTTGTATTCTCCCCGGATCAGTACGGTTCATGGGGTGGCCATGCTAAAGCAGTCACCTTTGAGAAGAAGGACCCCCAAAACCCAGACGCTACCGCAAAGGAAATCACGATCTACGACTACTTTGAGAGGACGTATAATGTTAATCTCCAGTACTGGAAGCTGCCACTGGTGCAGACAGTGAAGGGTGGAATCTTCCCAATGGAACTCTGTACGATTGCACCAGACCAGCGCTACATGTTCAAGTTGGATCCCAAACAGACCGCGGATATGATCAACTTCGCTGTTGTTCCACCGAACCAGCGCCTGGAGTCCATTAGAAAGGGCGTTGACTTACTGAACTGGGGCAAAGATCCATATCTTAACCACTACGGCATCAAGATTGAGAGCACGCCAACGATCACCACTGCAAAGCAATTGCAACCCCCGGATATCCACTTTGGGAAAACCTCGCAGAAAGCAGTTGTCAAGCCAGGCTTTGCTGGGTTTTGGACCCTCGACAGAAGCCAGTTGCTGCTGGTTCCACCGAAGCCCTTGAAGAACTGGGGTGTGTTCATGGCCGCGGATAGAAATGGAAGGCCAATTGTCACCGAGCCGAGATGGGACGAGTTTATTGCCACTTTCAAGCAGCAGTACATCGCCCTCGGCCACAAGGGTGCTATCCCGGATCCAAGGAAGTTCTTGTTCAACAGCGACAATATCGAGTCAATGATTGACAGACTACTGGCGCCGCTTGCTTCCACTCCAGAGAACATTCCCCAAATCTTGCTGTTCATTGTCCCAGATAAGAATTCTTGGACGTATGACAGGATCAAGAAGCACATGGATTGCAAATATGCTCTCGTGTCGCAGGTCATGGTGAAGGGACATATCGAGAAGAACAACCCCAAGTATTGCAAGAACGTCATCATGAAGCTCAATGCCAAGCTCGGTGGCACAACCAGCAGGGCTTGCAAGGCCAATACGAAGGAGCCTACTTTTTTCAATACGCCTGGACAGACCGCAAAGAACCTTGTGATGATGATTGGCGCTGACGTGAGCCACCCAGCCCCAGGCTCAGAGCAGCCGTCGTTTGCAGCTGTCACCATGTCTCTTGATAGCGACTGCTGCAGATATGCGGCAGCATGCGAAGTCAATGGCTTCAATAAGGAGATGATCCAAAAGCATGTCTGGGACAAGAAAGTCAAGTCAATGGTCAACTGGTGGCTGGAGACTGTGGGAACTGTCAACGGCCAAAAGAAGGTTCCTTCTCACATCTACTATATGCGCGACGGTGTCTCCGAAGGTCAGTACTTACAAGTGCTCAACGACGAAGTCAAATGGCTCAAAGACATGTTGGAGACCGTGAATCCTCAGTTCAAGCAGACCAAGTTTGTTGTGGTCATCGCATCGAAGCGTCACCACATCCGTTTCTTGCCTCGGACTGAAGACCAATGCAAAGACAAAGACTTCAATCCTTTGCCTGGAGTTCTGGTTGAGCACGACATCACTCATCCATTCCAGTACGATTTCTACCTCAATGCCCACAAGGCAATCAAGGGAACTGCCAGACCAGTTCATTACCACGTCATTCTCGACGAGGTCAAGCACAAGCCAGGCCAGCTTCAGGAGATGATCTACGCACACTCCTACCAGTATATGAGGTCCACGACGCCTGTTTCCATCCACCCGGCTGTGTATTATGCGCACTTGGCATCCAACAGAGCCCGTTCTCACGAGAACGTACCAATAGTTGATGAGCCTCGTGGTGGTCAAAAGGCCATGGAGAGAAGACAGGCAGCCAAGCTGGAGAGCGATTTGAGGCTGGAGAACGCGTCTGAGGCTGGACTGACCGCCAAGCGCTCGTCTGGCAAGTCGCCATCGATCCAATACCAGATGGTGGAGAATGAGGTGATTGGGAAGCTCTGGAGAGAGCAACCGCAGCCGGTGAGATTCAAGGCGCTGACCCAGGCCTTCTTATACGGCATGTGGTATATTTAGACCTTCGGAGGTTCTTGTCAGCTTCGCTGGCATAATATTTTCACTTCTAGCTCTATTGTCGGCCATGGACCTTTTCGGTGGCTGGCATTAGAGCCGCAGCTCATGGATCACACTCGCTTTGGCCTTCTGTTTTGCCAGAGTGAGTGCCATCTGCGTGCTTACTACGAACAATTTCTTTCCTTGGGCGCGGTATCAGTGAGAACTTCTTTCGGCAAGCTACAGGAGTAACTCTCGCCTTGGTGGTGGAGTTGATGGTGTTGAATAGATAGGTCGGATATTTGCCTTCCTCCCCCCGCGCTAGCTTTCATCCACTGTTTCGCTTTTGAGATTGGGGCAGATAGGTCCATACAATCAATAAAACCATCTAAACTAAACCTTGAAAACAGTAATTGTGACTTTGCCTGATGTTTGTACGTGGCTATGACTACGGATTGCACAGTGCTAAATACCCACTATAATAAAATATCAAGCATTTCCAACCTTGACACCGACAGCATCATTAATATACTTGTGGCACTCCTCTGCATCTCTGTACACATGCCACTTGTCCTTTGGGACACCCGTAAATGCCTTCTCGAACCGTGACGCGTCGTTCTTCTCTTCGAGTCCTACTTCGGCGATATTTTCGACGCGGCGGATCAGAATCAATCCGACCCAGTCTGGGTATTTGCGGTACCTGAAAAGTATTAGCAAAGATGACGACGGGGATGGGTAATGGTGGACTTGCATTTCGCCGTAGGCTTCGGGGTCGGACTGAGTGGAATCGCCAATGCAAATCATCTGACGGCGCGGCAGCCACGAGTGGATCTTTTCCATACGATCAACCTTGTATTCTTGGGTAGCCTGCGTCAAACTCGTGAGCAGACCCGCGAGGTTCCTCCAGCTGGCATCGCGGAGGATGAGGGTGCCTTGAGGATAGAATTCGTGAATGAACTCGTGGAGGAAGGCGTACAAGTTGTAGGGCGAAGCGGAGAGATAAAACCAGGGCGCGGATTTGGTTACGACGGTTTGAATGTAAGAATACAACAGGGGCATTCCTGGGACAGGAGCTGCGTCGGCGGCAAATGTGCTTCGCAGAATACCGATCGGGTCGCCAGTTTGCGTGACTTTGATAGTATCATCAACATCTGAAAGGTTTTCAGTTAGTAGGCGCAAGGTTCACCATGGGCTTCGCAACATACCCGATATGACACCCCACCCCTCTGGCTCTGCGTACACTGTTTTTATCCTCAGTATTCCATTTGTACCTTTGGGCACCCTTGCAACACCAGTCACCACAGCTTCATTCTTGGGCTGCGGGAGCTGTCGTATGTCGCTGCTGATGCCGTTCCGGCCGCCAGGGCCTAATTTGAGCTGCGTGCGACGCCCAAAGTCCACATCCACCACACGTCCTGGTAAGACAGACTGCATGAATGGCATCAAGCGGTCCTTGATCCTTTCCTCTGCTTGTCCGAGTCCCAGCTTCTCCGCAATATCAGCCACCACGAGGCTCACTTTGACGCCTGTTTCCTTGTCGAAAACGGCCGCGATCACCTCCGCCTCCCAGTTGTTTGTGGTCGGGTTTCGATATGCAGTGTTATCAAACAACCAAACCGTATCGTTTGAGGTGATTGGGTGCGGGCGAGGGTTCCATGTCCCTAGGAATGAGAGGATGTTTGTGGTTATCGAAGGACGCTCATCTGGGGCGGGGCTATTTCTAATGTTGGGAAGCTTTGCCTCTGTGTCCTCGAAATTGCGCGCCTTTCGTGCGCGGTCCTCCAGGTCTGATTCGTATCGGCCTGGAGCTGCGCGTGTGGGGTTGGGATCGAGTTTCGTTTCGAGGGCCGCGGCTGCTTTTCGGATGAAGCGCGACATGACTCTTTCTATTCCTGGCCGGCGTGCAAAACTGGGCTCACGGGATTCTGGTATCTTTCTGGGTCGCTGAAATCGCTGCAAGTTTTACTGTGGAGCGCAAATAGTGGTATCAATCGCATGTGAATAGGCTGAGCGCGAGAGCTATAGTTGTGGAGCGCAAGGGAAGACAGGAAGAGAGAAAGAGAAGGGGGAAGGGAAGGAGAGAGGAAGGAGAGAGGAAGGAGAGGGGAAGGAGAGAGGAAGGAGAGAGGAAGAGATGATTATAAGGACCTTGGTTGGAATGGACAGCCAAGGCGGCGGGGGAGAGCAAGGCATCGCCATGCGCATCGATGCAATCGCACGCGCCGCCTTTGGGATACTTCCCCATTTAGCTGGGCGCGACGTCCATCACAGCCATTTTCCAGCGCCATGAGAGGCTGAGCATCCGCCCATTCAGCCCATGCGGCCTCACGATCGTTGCTGCCATCGAAATAGGCAGTACAGTCAGCACACACACATGCAAGGTACCTCGCCCAAGCAGTAAATAATAGGTTGATAGAAGTACCTGACATGACCAGTGGACTCGAGGAACCACCACAGCTGATACAAACGTACTGAGGCGAACAACCACCACCGGCTCAAAAGTTGGAGCACGAGTACACTCGTCCAAGGCTCCTTCCTTTCTGTCGCTCAGATTGTCCAGATTGTCCAGGTCACGGGTTGTGGCATAGGTTGGTGGTGGTGGTAGCTCGCCGTCTTCTGATCAGAGCTAATGACCCTTGGGGCTCTTGGAACTTTCTTTGGATCCCTTGGATTTCTTGGATATTTTCACTGTAGATAATGATGAAGCCTACAACTTGACAACCCGGTGTCTATTTGCGACGAGCTGCCATGCTGGACACCTGTTGTCGTTGTCTTGGAGGTGGGTAAGACAGCTGCAGGAAGGGATTTTGAGGCGCTGCCACCCATGACATGCGCGTATCCGCGTGCAACAATGCCAGATGACTGGCCGATGTCGAGGAAACCACGCATTGTGATGCGGCATGAAATGATGTGAATGGCAGGCACATGGTTTCTGCTGTGGCTGATGCTTTCCTTGCTATCTCGGCGGCGAACTTGACGGGTTGCTAGAAGAGCAAGAGCGTATCGATGGAGATGTAAGGAAGGCCATCACGTGCCACCACGTGAGGTCCCTTTCTGTTGAACACATAATTGGAGTTTGACGACTTGATTGAAAAACTACGGGGGGCGAAGCCCCTATATATACACAGTTGGTATACAGGCTACGCATGTGCAGCGTACTACCAGGAATGCAGTTCCAACACGCCCCTTACGCTGTACTGTGTTGCCTCTGCAACAGCGCCCCTGCTTCTAGTTCCTCTAAACCCAAGTCTCTGCCTATCCCTCTTTCCTAGCCCATCCTATCCACAGTATGACCGCGCTCGCTACCCGCTACCTGCGCACCATCGCTATGGTGGTGTTAACCGCTTGCGCACCCTCATGGTGTCGAATCTGGCTGGTCTGTCCCGGCTACGCCTCGATCAATGAGGTTCAGTTGACCCAAAACTGAAGTTCCGACAGTTATCCCTAGCTCCTGTTCAAAGTAGTCGCTTGCTTGGTGTGCCCTGCACTCGTCTTATACTCAGTGCTGCTTCCGCTGTGTAGTTGGTGGTTATGAGCAAAGGCTTTCCGTAATGGCGATAAATACGCTCCACTCGTACGCCTATCGTACAACATAGCTGCTCTCTCTGTGCGAGAGCTATGAGGGAAGCCGTCAATTATGTGTCTTTGGCGCAGCGCGTCGTGCGCTAAACCCGGGCTCATAACCTGTTGAACACATAATTGGAGTTTGACGACTTGATTGAAAAACTATGGGGGGCGAAGCCCCTATATATACACAGTTGGTATACAGGCTACGCATGTGCAGCGTACTACCAGGAATGCAGTTCCAACACTTTCTGTTGGAGAGTAGGCCGTGGGCGCTGGGATACGGTGGTATTTGGCCCTATAATCCACTACGGCATCCCAGGATCTCCGACCGGTGCTGGAAACCACCACAGTCTCAACTGGGGTTTCAGCTCTGAAGCCACCAGAATAGGGGGCTTTTGGGGGGTCAAAGCAGAACCTCCGAAAGGCCTACAAATAGCCACGTAGGCCCATTAGATAGTGTAGTTAATCAATCGATCTTATTTTGCTATAGTAAGCTATATACTGTGTGAGAACTCCTGCCCCATTGCGCCCGTGAGAAGTCCCGACCACTGGAGAAAACACACGATTTGTGTGTGATCCCGTACCACGGTACTTCCTGTTCCAACACTTTCATTAGGGGCCCATAGGGCTCGGTAAAGTAGGGCACAAGGTGCATAGATAAAAGGTGTTGGAGGCCTCGGAAGAAGGCCTCCAGTCAATAGTCGCTGTACTTACGGAGACCTATTGTCCTTACGAATACGATACCCCTTTCCTGCCTCTTGACCTGGTTTCCTACAATTACAATGCCTACCCTGAGGCCCTACAGGACTTTGCAAGGAAGCAAGCCCAAATTCAAGAAGAAAGTCATCGTAAAAGGCGACACCAAGACATCGAGGATGAGTGGGAGGACCCCGTGTGGAAGGACGTGAGGAGGACACAGCTTCCACTGAGTCTAGGAAGACTGCACCCGCCCAAAGGCCAATTGTAAGGGTTAAGGAACCAAAGGTCTACAAGGGCGAGTCTACCCGCTAACTCAACGAGTTCATGGCCTCCCTCCGCGCCATTTTTCGATACCAACCAAGGGTCTTTCCAACTGAACAGTCGAAGGTGGCCTTCACAGCCCAGTACTTAGAAGGGTACCCTGTCATACTGACATTCGTTGCACTCAGTTTGCTATCAAACTCAAGAGCAAACTTAGAAATCTCCTCCTCAAACCTGCAAGTCACTATACATATTTTGGCTTGTCACACCAACAACAAGAGCAATAGTACTCAACGATTGCTACAACCCTCTATGATTCATTACACGTCATTGCTCCTTATTTGATATGACCACATAGCATATCTCTACAACCCTCTATGATTCATTACATGACATCACTCCTTAGTTACTGGGCTAATACTACACATGACATATCTCTATCAACTAGAGGCCTAGGAACATGAACAATAGCTCCAAAAGCTTCTACAACCCTCTATGATTCATTACACGTCATCGCTCCTTAGTTACCCACAAGATTGGTTAAGTTATGACATAATTTGTCTATAGGGGTATGTCATACTGACATTCGTTGCACTCAGTTTGCTATCAAACTCAAGAGCAAACTTGGAAATCTCCTCCTCAAACCTACAAGTCACTATACATATTTTGGCTTATCACACCAACAACAAGAGCAATACTACTCAACAATTGCTACAACCATCTATGATTCATTACACGTCATCGCTCCTTAGTTACTGGGCCGATATTACCACATAGCATATCTCTACAACCCTCTATGATTCATTACATGACATCACTCATACTACCACATGACATATCTCTACCAACTAGAGGCCTAGGAGCATGAACGATAGCTCTAAAAGCTCCTACGAACCTCTATGATTCATTACATGTCATCGCTCTTTAGTTACCCACAAGATTGGTTAGGTTATGACATAATTTGTCTATGACATAATTTGTCTATGACATAATTTGTCTATAGGGGTACTCTGACCTTGGACCTCCTTTTACTTCCTATAGGCTACGAACCTAAGAGATGGTTCTATGGGATTCTCTTATGTCGACTACAGTTACCAAGCCTGGTAATCATGGAAAGTCTTGGAAAATGAGAGAACTACACTCCTGTTACGACGGAACAAGAAGGCTGGCCAACTACAGGACAGGAAGGAGGGAGGTCGCATGAGACCGGCCCTGGTACCTGGAGGGGCAGCGGGGAATAGTAGTTCCGAAAGTATCAGGTGACGGACTCGCAGGATGATGAGAAGAGTCCTAAGAGTCCAGGACTCCGAGGACTCGAGTGAGTTCCCAGTAGTCCACTAGGCACGTGATGGACTCGCAGGATGATGAGAAGAGTCCTAAGAGTCCAGGACTCCGAGGACTCGAGTGAGTTCCCAAGAGTCCACTAGGCACGACGCCACTATATAAGTAGATAGTATTTCCTTAGATAGGAGCTTCGTGCTCAACTCAATACAGTATTTGTTATATACTAGTAACGTGTTACTTGAAGCCTTTGTGTCTGATCCCCTGCCTCCTCTGATAAGTAAACCTTTACGCAAGAGAACCTCTGTGTCTTCTATCGTTTAGAAGTCAGCGTTACACTTTGAGCACCACTTCTACGAGGTACCGGCTTACACACAAAGCAACATGTCTGTCGTCAGTTCAAAGGGGAAAACCCCCACCACGCCAACTTCGTCTCAGAGGTCTAAGCCTGAGAATGAAGAGATGCCCGATGCACCCACCGTCAATGAACTCAAGGAAACTCTACGCGTCAAGTTGCCCGACACTTACTCCGGCAACCGAAAGGAACTTGAGGTGTTTTTGCTACAGGTCGAACTGTACCAGCACTTCAATGACGAGAAGTTTCCCACCCAGGAGAGCTATGCCCTGTGGACTGCGTCCTACCTTAGGGGGGAAGACCTGCGATGGATCGAACCATTCCTCAAGGACTATTTCAAATATGAAAGTACCAATGGAAGCATGACAACTACGCAGACTATGTTTGGCAGCTGGAATGGATTCTGTAAGGAAATCCGACGCATGTTCGGAGACATCGATGAGATTAAGACCGCAGAAGACCATCTGTTTGCACTTAAGCAGACTGGCAGCGCCCTCACATACTCCACAGAATTCCAGAGATACGGCAATCAGACAGGATGGGACGCCAGCGCACTCATCAGCCACTACCAACGTGGGCTGAAGAGCCATATACGTATGGAACTTGCCCGTTTGGAACAACAACCAACGGACATGGTAGCGCTAATCGAACATACGGTCCGAATCGACAATCGACTATACGAATTCCAGAAGGAACGTCGGACCTATGACAAGCCCAAGAAAAGTTACCCCTACCGGGGAAACGAGGGCAGACGACGGGATCAACACCCGCGAGACAACCGTTGGTCGGACCCAATGGAACTCGATGCCACGTTCAAACCTGGACGACCCCGTGACCCTAAGAAAGACAGACAATTCAAGGAACGACTCTGTTTTAACTGTGACAAGCCAGGCCACATGGCCCGAGACTGCAGACAGCCAAAGAAAGGGAACGGCGGACGCAAAGTCGGCAAACAACTCAATGCCACCTGGACAGGACAGTTGAATGCAACGTTTGTGAGCAAACAGGACTGGGGAATAAACGGCGAAAGCACCCCAGAAGACGAGAGCTCAGATGAAGGGTCGGAGGCGGAATCGTTCACCGTCTCGGAACAGGAGACCTTCGATGAACTCGCACCTACGGCACCAATGAGTCCACGGTGCAAGAGCGTAGTAAGACGCATGGCAAAACACGCCCACGCAAAGATTAGGGCCGAACGAGACAAGCCCAATGGCCAGAGGAGAATCCCCATGCTTAAAGACCTCTACGGGAACCTGTTACAGGAACTTCCGTTAAAGTGCAAGGTGGACGACTGCAAGGATGACCTCTGGAGATACTACGACCAACTAACGAATACCCGCAGGCTGCTTGGCACGTCCCAAGACGTAGCTAAGTTGGAAGCCCAAGAAGCGGAAGAACTGGAGAAGGATGTCGAGCATATGGCTAAACTGAAGTATATGAAAAGCGTCGAACTTTACTACCAGGACCGCAGGAGAGCCCTGAAGAAGTACGACGAGAAAGCCAGAGATATGCTCCGACGGGAAAATGCGAGACCCACTCCACGCATCGAAAGGAGAGCCATGGAGCAACTAGACACGTTCTCCACGCCTCCGAGGGAAGATAGTGCATGGGTGAGAGGACAGCGGGAACTATCAACGACAGACGCAACAGAGACTGATCATCCCTGGCACGCGTATGTCTACTGGGAGTATTGCAGCGAAGATGACTGCAAGCTCCACTGGAAAAAGAAACACCAGAATCAGTTGTTTCCCCGATCCTCGCCCAGGATACACTTCAGAGACGCAGAGCAAGTTCACGCCCTCAGGCGAAGCCAGTCTGAAGGGGACTTGCCTATCAAAAGCGAACAGGTATACGAAAGATATCCACACCTGCTGAACGACGCAGCAGAGACAGGGAAACGATCTCCCCAAGGACCACCATTGGAAGCGGATGAATACTATCCTTCCTCGGACGAGTCGAAAAACTAGGAGTCCTCGACGGTAGGCCACCGGCGAGCGACATGAAGAGGCCTAGTACAGACCAGCTATGCGCCACGACGGGCAGCATGCAACTATATGTGGTCGCTAAGATACAACAGCGACACCTCCGAGCAATGATTGACTCAGGAGCGACGGGCAACTTTATGACAAAGAAAGTAGCAGACACGCAAGGTTTCAAGACGCAATTGAAAACCGAACCATACCCGTTAATGGTCGTAGATGGAGAGCCCATCTCGACTAATGAAGGAATGGTGACCCACGAAACGGTCCCATTGGAAATGGTCATGCTACACGGGCACAAGGAAACGATTCAGTTTGACATCGTGCACATGGACAACCATGCATGCATCCTTGGTGTGCCATGGCTCAAGAAACACAACCCCCAGATCGACTGGTGGAACGAGAAAGTTGTGATGAGCCAGTGCGCGTGTGAACAACGGACGGACACGCGACAACGGGAGAAACCCTCCCAGGGCCGGAAGGAGTTATGTGCAACCTCCGAGCTCGATGACCTAGCCCAGGCATCCTCACCGACGAGTATACCGGTGGAGTACAAGGAATACGAGCAATTATTCCAGGAAGGCCCTAAGAACGAGGCGCTTCCTAAGCACCAACCATGGGATCATGAGATACCTTTGGAGAAAGACAAGAGTCCACCGTTCGGACCAATATATCAGCTATCGGAAAAGGAGCTGAAGGTACTTAAGGAGTACATCGATGATAACCTAGCGAAAGGATTCATCAGACCATCCACATCACCAGCAGGAAGTCCGGTGCTTTTCGTACCAAAGAAAGACGGCTCCCTACGGTTATGTGTGGACTATCGAGCGTTGAACAACATCACAATCAAGGACAGGTATGCCCTGCCGTTAATCAACGAACTACACGATAGATTTCAAGGAGCAAAGATCTTCAGTAAGCTAGATCTGCGAGGAGCATACAACCTGATCCGAATCAAGGCTGGGGAAGAGTGGAAAACAGCATTCCGCACCCGCTATGGCCTATTCGAGTATCAAGTCATGCCCTTTGGGCTAACAAACGCACCCGCATCTATGCAACGACTGATGAATGATGCTTTGCATGAATACTTAGACATCTTTACCATTGTCTACCTAGATGATGTCCTGGTGTATTCAGCAACCAAGGAGGAGCATGTCAAGCATGTCAAACTCGTCCTGAAGAAACTAAAGGAGTACAGCTTACTCCTCAAACCAGAGAAGTGCGAGTTCCATAAAAACCAAGTCGAATTCTTGGGTTACATTATCGGAACGCACGGCATCAAGATGGACCAAGCAAAAGTAACGGCAGTGTTGGAATGGCCAACACCGACCACGGTCAAGGAAGTGCAAGCCTTCCTAGGCTTCGCCAACTTCTACCGAAGATTCATCTCGGGATATTCCAAGGTAGCTCAACCACTCACGGAGCTTACCAGAAAGGATCTCGAATTCAAATGGACGGAAAAGGCAGAGGCTGCTTTCCAGGAACTTAAGACGAAGTTCACGGAAGCACCTATCCTTGCTACATTTGACCCTGCAAAGAAGATCATCCTCGAAACGGACTCTTCTGACTTCGCAATTGGAGCATGTCTGAATCAACCAGTCGAGAACGGTAAGTTCAAACCAATCGCGTACTACTCTAGGAAACTGTCACCCGCGGAACTCAATTACGACATCCACGACAAGGAGCTACTGGCTATTGTCGTTGCCTTTGAGCAGTGGCGAGTATATCTTGAGGGACCCACCTACCCGGTGCAGGTATGGACGGATCACAAGAACCTCATATACTTCACCACGACCAAGGTTTTAAACCGCAGACAAGTCCGCTGGGCAGAAACCCTCACAGCCTACAACTTCACGATAACCTATCGCAAGGGCTCCGAGAATGCAAGAGCAGACGCTCTCAGCAGACGAACCGACTACGCCGGCCCAAAGGAAGAAAGACCTAGAGCAATTCTGAAGAAAACAGATGCAGGAATACAGTACAACGAGTTACTAGCGACGATCTCAGTCATCGAAGATACAGAACTCGAGGAAAGACTCAAGAAAGCTTACGCAACAGACGAATGCGCCAAGCGAGTCTTGTCCAAAGTTGAAGGCGACTTCGCCATCGACGAACAAGGATTGATTCGATACAAAGGGTTAGTGTATGTCCCAAGTCAAATGAGACGCCCGCTGGTGCAAGAACAACACTCGTTACCAGCACACGGTCATCAGGGAGTAACACGAACCTTCGAACGAATCACTCGACACTACTACTTCCCAGGTATGAGGAAGCAGGTAGAGACAGTGGTAAGAGAGTGCGACATTTGCAGCAAGTCAAAATCCAATAGGCATCTGCCATACGGACAACTCAAGTCGACACCAGTACCAAGAGGAGCGTGGAAATCAATAGCTTTGGACTTCATCGTCAAGCTTCCACCCTCCAAGGACCCGTTAACAGGAATAGAGTACGACTCTATCCTCGTCATCACGGAAAGACTCACGAAATATGGGAAGTTTATACCATATCTAGAAGCTAGCGACGCCGAGGCGCTCGCATATACCTTCATTCGAGTCATATTAGCCGATCATGGGATGCCAGAAGAAATCATCTCAGATAGAGACAAGCTCTTTACTTCGAAATTCTGGAAATCATTGATGGCGCTACTGGGAACAAATCATAAGCTATCAACAGCTTTTCATCCCCAGACAGACGGCCAAACAGAAAGATTAAATCAGACCCTTGAACAGTACCTGCGAAGCTATGTCAATCATCAACAGGATAACTGGGTTCAGATCTTACCCATCGCACAGTTTGCATATAACAGCGCGATGACAGAAGCAACGAAAGTCTCACCGTTCTTTGCCAATTATGGCTACCAGCCAGAAGCATATAGGCAACCAAGACCGGATGAATCACGAGCTGAACAAGCCCTGATCGTGGTGGAACAACTGAAATCGTTCCACGAACAACTTGCGACGGACATCCAATTCTTAAATGAACGATCCGCCGCATACGCAAACAAGAAGCGCAGTATGGAACCTGCCTTCAAGGAGGGGGATAAAGTATACCTACTCCGGAAACATATCAAAACGAAACGACCAAGCACAAGTTGGACTTCAAGAAATTGGGACCATTCAAAATATTGAACAAAGTCAGCTCAGTTAATTACAGACTGCAGCTACCCAGGAAGTCTAGACTACACCCGGTATTTCATGTCTCACTACTGGAACCAGCAAGAGGAAATACCCCAATTGCGACCGACACCGAACTCCAACCCGAGAATGAGATAATCGAATATGAGGTCGAAGCGATCCTAGACAGAAGGTTAGTAGGATGTCGAGAAGAGTTTTTGATAAAATGGGAAAATTACGAACCTACGGATAATTCGTGGGAACCAACAAGGAACATCAGCAAAGAACTGCTGGAGGAATATCGACGCCGCCATCCGCCAGCCATTGATCCCAAGATGCAGGGGAGTAGGCCAGTGGATCGGAGGAAGTGGAGGTCCCAGTCACAGACGAGGAGGCAGCGCTAACTGCCTGTTCCTCGACCTCAACAGCGTCACGCTTCTCAGCAGCCACACGTTCGGCCTCCTCTGCCGCATCAAGCTCGTCGAGGGTTTTCAAACCTCGCCGGAGCATATCTTTACCACGGGTTCGGATGAGGCGTTTCTGCTTCCGCAGACGAAGTAACTTCGAAAGGGTTTCTTCCTCTTCGCGATCCAGGCGATCCTCCTCCCGTTCGAGCTTCACCCAGTCGGGATGCTCAGGACCCATACAGTCACACTTTTCTTTCAAGTTGCGACGAACGCACTCGGCGCACCGCCGTGAATCATTTGGAGACGACACGCAAGTAATGTTTCGCCTCACGCAGTTCGAGCAAGAATCCATTTCGGGTAGTTCGTATCCGTGGTTCTTTATTCGACGGACAAGATCGTTGCGTTCCTGGAGTTTGCGGGCAGTGTCAGTAGGCATGTTGCATGTTGAAGGACTCGCTGAGGAGCAGCAGAGTCCTGGGGACATGGACGTACTTATAGGATTCGAGACGAATGCCCAGGGGAAGAGAGCGAGTGTTACGACGGAACAAGAAGGCTGGCCAACTACAGGACAGGAAGGAGGGAGGTCGCATGAGACCGGCCCTGGTACCTGGAGGGGCAGCGGGGAATAGTAGTTCCGAAAGTATCACGTGACAGACTCGCAGGATGATGAGAAGAGTCCTAAGAGTCCAGGACTCCGAGGACTCGAGTGAGTTCCCAGGAGTCCACTAGGCACGTGACGGACTCGCAGGATGATGAGAAGAGTCCTAAGAGTCCAGGACTCCGAGGACTCGAGTGAGTTCCCAAGAGTCCACTAGGCACGACGCCACTATATAAGTAGATAGTATTTCCTTAGATAGGAGCTTCGTGCTCAACTCAATACAGTCAGCGATGTGGATTTGCGGTGATGTGGTTGGTCGGGAATTGGGCAAAAGGTGGGGACGACCTGGCGATGTGGTTTCTGCGATGTGGATTTCCTACCCCCTATGCCACGGCACCGCACGATTAAAAATCAGCTTATATACTTTGCGTGATAGAGGGCATCCTATATCTCGTGTACTAGGGCCACAGGAGCATTGTGGTCGTCGTAATGAGTGAGCTTACGTATGATGCGAACCATTTTGTTGTGGTCTACCAAGCCTGCAGCAGCTGTGTGTCCCCTACCATGCGCGGGGGGCAGCGACACCTGAGCGAGTTCCCACAGAACCTATGCGGAGCTGTCCATAAGGCCACTACTGAGCTGCACCTAGAGCTGATGGTTGGACACTGCCTATACTGTCGCACGTTGCAGATGTCCTTCTCGCACACCCCTAACAGCTGTCCAAAGTACCTTGAGTATATCAAGGCTAAGGACAATGCAAAGATGACTAGGAAACACGGTTGGATTGCACTGTAGGTAGTGTGTTTCTTCTGCTACCAGCCCCAAGGGGTCTGCCATCGTGCAGATCCCAAGCATGAGGATAGTGAGTGCCAATTCCCTGCCATGGTCATGCCTCTGCATTATGGCGCCTTTGCTCGACCTGGTGCAGCGGGCTGGGTCAAGCGACATTTCCAGCGAGGCTTCAAAGACGTCCCACAGTACATGGCATGGCTGGGAGAGGTCGCATCGCTTGAGGGCAACAAGTGTATACAGGCAAACTGTGTTGCAGCACTACCACTTATGCCAATCCACGCCGCCGCCGCGGTGTGGATTTACGCGATTGCGGTTGGCTGAATTTTTGCGAAAAGCGGGTCTCCCCCTGCGGCGTGATCCCCTGCGGCGTGGATTTCCCGGTGCATGGGCTACATCCTCTGCACAGTGTCACGCACGATTAAAAATCAGCTTATATACTTTGCGTGATAGAGGGCATCCTATACCTCGTGTACTAGGGCTGCAGGAGCATTGTGGTCGCCATGATGAGCGAGTTTACATATGATGCGAACCATTTGGTTGTGGTCTGCCGAGCGTGTAGCAGCTGTGTGTCGCCTACCACCCGCTGGGGGCAGCGACACCTGAGAGAGTTCCCACACAACCTACGCGGAGCTGTCCATAAGGCCACTACTGAGCTGCTTGATGGGTATGGCAGGAGGAGGAGTCTGGACGAGCTGAAGGAAGAGGTGCGACGACTGAACCTACAAAGGATTGACTCAGGACAGCTGGCGCAACCCGTGCAAGGCCTAACGAGGCATGATGGGTTCTACTGCCTCCGCCCGCAATGCATCTACTGCACACGCAACCTAGCGAACATGAAGGAGCACTTGCGAGTAGAGCATAGGTTAAAGGCTGCGCAACAGAAGACCATGCATGGCCAGCTGTGGAAGGAGTGCGAGCTACAGACATACTTTAAAGGTGGTAATCGGATCAATTACTTTGCAGTTGCACCTCTAAGTAATACACAAGACATTACCCAGCTACCCCAAGCTACGACAACACAACAAGACCAGGAGCGCCAGCTGAAGGAAGACATGCTATTCGAGAAGATCAGCAAGGATGTTGAAGAGGCCACAAAAGACCAAGAGGAGGCTGCAAGTGTAGTGCGGGACCTTACCTCCAAGATAGACTGAGTGCCCTGGCTAGAGCGGACGGGATTCCCAAGCCACCTCACTGGGCTGAAGGATGAGGAGATCTACAGCTCGTACCAGCTGCCTAAGGTGCAACCACTTAGGAAGGCGGGGAATGACGGCCGTAGCGATGGAAGGAAGTATGATCCAGAGTCGTACCTGACGCACATTGTGCGGGCCGCAGAGAGTCTGCTGCGCGATGTGTACAGGCTGTGCAGTGACAACTCCAAGGAGCGCAAGATGACGCAGCAGAGGGCAAACATCCTGAACTCCTTCTACGCAGGAGCGTCAGGCCAGTCGGATGGCTTCAGATCATTCAAGAACCCGTCGACGCTGACAAAGTACTTTGCGACATTCAAGCAGCTGCTCGTCTACTACTACAACGTGCCATATAACATGGGCGACAAGGACGATGATGATGGAGAACGGAGTGTGCGCCACCACTTCACCAGCACCCAACCAGACCAGGTGCTGCCCCACGAGGTCATTGAGACTACCAAGGCCAGAGGAGGGCCATGGATAAGATAATGGCCATACTCGAGGACCGTGCCATGTTCCACATCCCGCCTGAAGAGAACCACGAACTCAAGGGCTGGATACGGAAGCTGTACATGGCGCTGATCTGCCAGATGGTGGGAAGCATGCCCTTCCGGTCAGCCGTGCTGAGCTTCTGCGCAATGATCAGCCGGAGGAAGAGTGGTGGCAGCGGACTATGGGAGGAAGCTGGCAACTACAACAGCCATCTGTCAGCGCTGACATGGACAGCGCAGCTGATAATCTTTGACTACGCCTGTCACCAAAACCAGGATGATGAGGACCGCATCCCAGCCTTCCTCACAGACGTCTGCTCAAAGACGTTCCAGCAGCTGGCAGAGACTCCATTCGGTCACATCCTGCAGTGGCGGCTGTACCTGTTCAAGGTGTCAAAGGCAGCCATTGCTATGCACCAGGCGCGGTGGTCGGTCGATGGGCAGAACATGACGTTTCGAGGGGTCGAGTTGAGGATGTCGCATATAGAGCAGCTGGTAGCGTCCGAGTTCCGTCAGGCTCACTCCTTACTATACGACAAGCTGATGTTCAAGTCGAATGAGCTGGTGCCAATGCAATCATGGAGGCTGAGGGATGATCTTGACACCGAGGATGCTGGCGTGTCATGGTTGACCAACAAGGGCAACACAGAGCTCGTGCAGTCTGCAGACATCGCACTGCTTGGTATGATTCAAGGCAGTGCTGAGCTCCGGCGGATGTTTATCATCGAGGCAAAGGACGGAGATGGGATGATGTTGTCTGTCAAGGCAATTGCTGTGTACGAAGGCTATGTGCAGCAATTCCTGAAGCAACTCCTTGTCCTCTGTCATATCACAGCAGGGCAGCCTCTTCGCGAGCCGGAGCTGCTGTCAATAACATGGTGCAACACTGCTCGGATGCGCCATGTATATATATGGGAGAAGCTCGTACTGATCTACACGCAATACCATAAGGGCCAGCAACAGTCTGGACTGTACAAGGACAATGTGCGCTTCCTCCCTCGAGCTATTGGAGACATGCTCCTCGACTACATTGCATACGTCATCCCTCTCCAGCAGATATTCCTCAGACAGCAGCAGCCAAAGGCCCTGATAAGTCCGTACCTGTGGGCAAAGACTGGTGGTGTGTGGTCTGATGGAGCCGTCACGGCCTGCCTGAGGAGAGCATGTGCGCGTGCTGATATACCATCACTGCATACAGCCAACTGGTGCCAGATGTCCATGTCTATCTGCAAGGAGAAGTTTGGTGGAGGAGATCGGGCCAGCTTTGATCTTGAGGGAGATGCTGGAGACGACGAGGAGAGTGAGCTCATGGCGATGGCCGAGCAGAGTAACCACAGCTACCGCACGTTCAACCAAGCGTATGCAGGCAGTAGTACACTCACGATGAACGTCCTGCTTCATCGCGCATACAAGGCCTCGAGCAGCTGGCACAGCTTCTTCCGGTTCGATCGTATCCTGGATGGCAAGCGACCACGTGGGATGTCCGAGGTCCTGTCCTTGCGGGTGATGGATGCGGCTAAGCATAGCCAGGCCAGGCCAAGAAAGGCCTATTCTGAATCAGACCTTCTTGATGCAGCGCGAAAGCTCTACAGTGCACCAGACCTGCAGTTCCGAGCAGGGCAAAGACGTGGGCTGGTGGCAATGATGGTGAAGCCTGTTGAGCAGCTGGTGCTCATCCTCGGGACAGGGTCTGGCAAGACGCTCGTCTTCCTGGTCGGGACTGCAGTGGCAGAGGACCGCACCACAATCCTCGTGATCCCAGCAGTAGCTCTCCGCGGAGACATGGTCAGCCGGTGCCGCGAGGTGGGGATACAGCCATTGGTGTGGACGATCGGATGTAAGCAGAAAGCATCCCTCGTCATCGTTTCTGCAGAGGCAGCTTGCACAGAAGGTTTCATGGACTACGTGCGCACGCTCCAATTCCAGCAAGAGCTCGACAGGATTGTCATCGACGAGGCCCACCTTGTCATACTGACATTCGTTGCACTCAGTTTGCTATCAAACTCAAGAGCAAACTTAGAAATCTCCTCCTCAAACCTACAAGTCACCATACATATCTTGGCTTATCACACCAACAACAGAAGCAATACTACTCAACGATTGCTGCAAACTCTTCTACTACATCTGTTTATGCTACATACATCACGGCATATCATTTGGACACTCATTGAACAAGTTATTAAGAAAATCTCCTCCTTAAGGGGGTGGGCCAATACTACCACATGGCATATCTCTACCAACTAGAGGCCTAGGAACATAAACGATAGCTCTAGAAGCTTCTACAACCCTCTATGATTCATTACACGTCATCGCTCCTTAGTTACCCACAAGATTGGTTAAGTTATGACATAATTTGTCTATAGGTACTCTGACCTTGGACCTCCTTTTCACTTCCTATAGGCTAGGAACCCAAGAGATGGTTCTATGGGATTCTCTTACGTTCACTACATGATTAGCAAGCTAGTTGTGGGTCGCACTTGATTTCTAATACATTTACCAAGCCTGGTTAGTCATGGAAAGTCATGGAAAATGAGAGAACTACACTCCTTTGGCATAAATAGGATTGCCCTTTCCTTAAGAAAGGGCAAGCAGGCAATACAGTAAATCGACTATCACATACTTCCACGTCTTTTACAAGCTTCCAAGCATTGATCTTGTTATTCTCTGTTTTTGAAAAGTCAGTGAGGTGCTAACCTCTGACTTACCCCTGAGTTCTCAGACTCAACATTTGTTGCAACTTGTCTAAACCACTTCACCACATCATACACCTGATTGCTGCGTTGTGGAATAGTCTAAGCTACAACCCTTTGGCTCTGTTTCCTAAGACAGTGTGTTGTCTTAGTAAATTCATCCCTTCCTTGGGTGGCTAGATTCTCATATCTGGTGCACCCACCATTACACACCTGACTGTGACTGCGAGCGACTACCGCCCATCCATGATGGAGCTTGGATGGTACGTCCGGCAGATCCGTACCCAGACCATCTGGCTCACAGCAACGCTCCCCCCAGCAATGGAGGAGGAGTTTGTGCAGCTGAACAAGCTGGTGCGGCCAGCCATCATCCGGGAGTCTACAAACAGGCCAAACATCCAGTACCTTGTCGACACCGCTGAAGGAGACATCTTTGACAGGGCAGCTACGCATGTGATAGATTCCTGGTCGAAGGGTCTCGACAGGTCCAATGGCAAGGTCATCATCTACTGCTGAACCAAGGCTGCCATGCAAGAGATGAGGGAGATCCTCGACTGCCCGGTATACACGTCCGACCTGGCGTCGGAGGAGGAAACGGCTGCAGTGATAGAGTCATGGCTCGGGGACAGGAACCAGCCCATCATGGCTGCGACGTCTGCCCTTGGTGTCGGGTTTGACTATCCTCAAGTCTGAGTAGTGATTCATGTCGATGAGCCTAATAGGATAACTGACTTCTCTCAAGAGTCTGGCAGAGCCGGTCGTGACGGGGAACCAGCTACATCTATAGTCATACTCTGATCATCCTGGAAGGTGAACGAGGATGGCAACCTCCCACCTGACACCCAAGGAATGCAGCTCTTCCTCTCCAAGGAGTTCTGCTCCCGCGGAGTACTGTCGCAGTTCCTGGATCAGAAGCTTGACTGGCGCTGGTGTATGGAGGGTGAGGTGCCCTGCTCTGTTTGCCAGTGCGGACACGCAGAGGTGAGGCCAGCAGGGCTCGAGTTCCAATTATCGCAAGAGGCTGTTGATGTGACCACTGGGCCAGAGGAGGTGTTCCGACAAGACCACATGAAGGATGAGGCACTAAGCAGGTATGAGCAGGATCTCAAGCTGATGCTGGGTCTCTGCCTGTACTGCTGCACGATGCAGCGGCCCTTTGTGCACAATGTCAACACATGCGCTATGGGGTTTAAATGGATACGGGCAAAGGATGATGCAAGGACGAAGGGAAGGCATGGCTGGATAGCACCGTATGTGGTCTGTTTCTTCTGCTACCAGCCACAGGGGATCTGCCACCGGGCAGATCCCGAGCACGAGGATGACGAGTGCCAATTCCCTGACATGGTCATGCCTCTGTGTTATCTTTGCTCGACCGGGTGCAGCGGGCTGGCTCAAGCGACATTTCCAGCGAGGCTTCAAAGACGTCCCGCAGTACATGGCATGGCTGGGAGAGGTCGCATCACTCGAGGGCAACAAGTGTATACAGGCAAACTGTGTTGCAGCACTGGTGTTGGCAGAGTTCGGATGATGGGTGGCGCACGGACCAGGCCATTTTGATCGAGGAGGAAAATGGGATGGCCAGTGCGCATAGATGTATTCACAAAGGGTTAGCTACACTGGTAGATTGAGCTCCCATCACATCTCCAACATCTTCCTCTCTATGCGTGGCCAGAGACGGTCACCCTGCTCAATGCAGCCTCGTTTCGGACGAGTCTCAGCCAGACGTTGAGGTCCTGCCATGTAAGGGTCCTTGTCACCCACGTGTCTGATATCTGCCCTAGGAAGAGGCAGACCGCGCCAGGGCCGAGCTTGTCTCGAACCAGGAACCAGGTTGCGACTTGCTGCAGGTGTTTGCTGAAGCGCAGGTACTCGCGCTCTCGCCGACCGGCATCAGGGATGTGCACCATGCTCCTTGCAAAGAGCTCCTTCTTCTTCTCGGACGACGCAGACTTGCCCTGGGTAGAAGGGGCATACTGCAGCGACTCCATATCCGCATGAAGCCAGATTGTGGTCTGTCCAGATGATATCGTCCATGAATGTGCTCTGCAACCTGATCAATCTGCTCCTGGATATCCTCTGGACAATGCTCATAATCCAACACAAGAACCTTCAGCATCGATCCCTTATCTCCATCTCCCAAGTCGATATTGCGCATGTATGGGACATGAGACTCAGCAATGGTAATCCTCTTGTTACGGCTCGCAATGAAGGTATGGTTCATAAGTGATTCCCGAATTGTATTCATCTCATCCTTGGAATGGAGACATTCATCATTAAGAATGCAAGCCTTTGCCTGGAATTCTGCTGGCAAAGGGGTGGTGTAAAGTGCATCGTGTTTGGTAGCCATGATGTCTATTCCCAGTTAGCATGATTAGAGTTGATGTGCATGGTGTACTTACATGTTGCAATTCAGGTAACGTGGTTTATCAGTACGTCGGACATATCAGTACCTCGGACACTTTTCATTGGCATTCTACTTTGAATATCAATAAATCAACCATAACATATTAAATTAACTATAACTAATCGTTGGTTCTCAAACCACTGCCTGGAGGCGGTTGGCGAAAGCGAACTGGGACGCGAAAGCGATTGTGGGACACTTCGGGAGCGGACTCGCGACGCGACACGACCGACCATGAACACGACTGACAACGTAACAATGCTGTAAATATATATAAGTTATAGAATTAAATAATTAAAAAAGATTTGATTGTCAGGCAGTGATTGATCATCACAGCCACCGTCACTTGCATCGTGAATCATGTCGTAGTCCAAGCCTGCAAAGTTCACGTACCCACTCTCCTCGATGGCTAACAGTCGGTCCGCCTCCTCCTCCTCCTCACGTTTTTTCTGTGTAACGTCCGGGTCAATGATTTCTGTACGTAAGCCAATTGGTGGCTCCGTGTCTGGGTTACTTTTTTGAAATTCATGTAGGTCCTTTTTCCGTGTACGTTCTGCCTTCCGTGCATCGATGCCAGCACGGAGCTGCATCTTACGCTCAACGTTCACCATGCGTGTTCTCTCTCTTTTCTCCCGTGCTTCTTCTAAAAGTTGCTCCTTTACCTTCTTCTCATAAATCCTTTGCCGTGCATGTTCAACTGTAATAGCACCGCCTTTTTGAATAGATTTCCGACTTCTAACCTTCCGCTGTCATTGCTCAGTCATAATAGTAGTAATTTGTACAAGCTCTGACTGGAACAGCTCAGCCTCTGTTAACTGAGTTTGGATTTCAGTATAAGAAGATGCCCACTTTTGCCGTGATGGTGAACTAAGGATCTTATCAAATGTTTGACTCCATGTTGAAAGATCATAACTTGCTTGAAATGCGCGTTGTGGTGTTTCTAAAACTTCTGGTTTTGCATATATAGCAACCTTCTCTTGAATCTTTTCATAGTTAGGTGGCCAAATACCTGCATCTCTAAAAGACTTGATACAGTTACCCTTTGTAAATGTCTGCTTACGGATAGTAGACAAGTCTCTAAAGAAAGATATAACATTATAATCTGTATCAAAATTCCGGATTGCTTGTTGAATTGCACGTCGGTGCCAATGTTTATATTGTGCAAACACAGTAACATCTAGCGGTTGTAGAATATGCGTAAGATGAGACGGAAACACATGTAAGTGTATATTGTGTTGATGTGCAAGTATTATAAACTCTGGAACTTCATGTGAGACATGAGAGTCCATTATTAACAATTTCGTTCTTATAGACGGTGTATGTTGAATAAAATGCTGTAGATATTCCATTGCAAGCTCAGAGTTTGTATATCCGGAATCGGATACTGCAACTTTCTCATCACCGTGTAGATTGTCATGGTACCAACTTTCCATGTGTAATTTTCCTTGTATAATAAGGAACGGTGGAAGTGCAATGCCAGCAGCTGAAATTGTCTCTATAACTGTAAGACTTTGTCTGTTCTCTGGAGCTTGTATATAAAGCTATAAATATTAGAATAATATAAAGTAAGATAAGTAGAAACAACTTACCTCCTTTACTGCAGATGGTACCAACACATGTTCACCGGTGCTCATTCCTACACGGAATCCAACTTCATCAAAGTTGTAGATATCACCTGCAGTAATATCTAGTTGATTACACACATCTTTAAATTCATAAAACCATTCTTTAATAGCTGATACTTCATGAGATGCAACCCGTGCTGCTTCAATTGGCCGGGTTTTTATTGTATGGAAGTTGTGTTGTTGTGTCTTAATCCATGTCTGGAACCACCGTTGTGATGGTGGTGCACATGTTGGAGTTTCTGCTGCACGTAGTTGGCAGATGGCACTGAACACCATAGGCTTAGTTGCACCGTACCCATTTTCGTACGAGCGTTGGATGTATCTTTGTATAGCTGTAACTTGTAGATCAGACAGTACTCTGTTCTGGCCTCCGCGTGGCACAGCGGTGCGTTGTGGTGATGCGCGTCGTTGTCGTAGTCGTATAGTCCGGAGCGTACTTGGGTTTACTCTGTACATCCGTGCTACTGTAGCACTCTTCTCTGTTGGGTTTTCATTTAAAAATTCAATGGCATTTAAAAGAGCTTCATTTTTATTTACTTCAACTACCGGCATAGTTGTGGTTGTGGTTGTGCTTGTTGTCGGTCATGTTCATGGTCGGTCGTGTCGCGTCGCGAGTCCGCTCCCGAAGTGTCCCACAATCGCTTTCGCGTCCCAGTTCGCTTTCGCCAACCGCCTCCAGGCGGTGGTTTGAGAACCAATGATTATTCCTATCCACTGTTATAGTAATAAGTATAGTAACATAGAAACAGTGTACGTGATGGAAAGCATGCAACTGTTGTTCAGCAACGTCTTGGGATTGGTGAGGGAGGGGGGGCATATTCTCTTTGGGATGACGGAAACATTGCTTGGGAAACCGAGGATGAGGATGATGAGGTAGTGCAAGAGGCTATGTGGAGGGAAGATGAGAAGGCCAATGGCGTTGATGATGTTGGAATTCAGAAGATCCAGAGAGAGATGGTGGCACAATCTGTCGCTACAACCAAGGTATGGATGAGAACCCATTACCCATTACATTTGAGCTTTACTAATATAATATAGAAGGTGGATCAGTTGGGATTCTCCCTCTGGCGCCGAAAGTGGAGGGTTGCATACCAATCAATGTTACAACTAATGAAGAAGGTCAACACAGACCCAGACTTCCTTGAGAAATTGCCCCCTGCAATTGATCCAACTACAGGGTAAGTAACTATAGTAATAATTATAGTAACTAGCTAACATCTCTAGGATCTACTACAACAAGGTTCCGCCACATCTATACTTCTCAAAGACGGAAATGGCTGTTTGGAGAAACTTCACCTCATGGAATCTTGATGGTGACATTGCATATCTTCCTGGGCCAGCTGAGTGGTACCCTGATGATTATGATACTACTCAGCATGGTTTCCATGTTGATCTTGATGCTGGCAGAGCATATGAAGCTTGGGAGATGTTGGCTGAAGAAACCGAGCACCAATTTCAAGTGGGTCTTGCCATCCGATGATACATTGGTACTTTTGCCTCCAACAAAAGAATCAGAGGAGTTTCTCAGCCAGTTCTACGAAATGTAGATTAGTTTCTTCTTCTACAATAGTCTAGGTAGATCAATACACTACTGTTGACGCTGTTACGATATCAAGTGCGCCTTGCAGCTCGAGTGGGGGTTCAGGGGTGTGAGGAGCTTTCCGGGGTTGGAGCGAAGTTTTCAGTTGTGGAGTGAATTCTCAGAACTGGTCTCGCTAAAGAGAATTCACTCCACAATAGCTGTATATAGATCGAGCCACTGCTCAAGTGCTCCTCTTCTCTTTCCTTTCTTCTCTAGATTGAGTTTAATTCATAATACCCAACTGGCGCCCTATGCCTTGGTGAACCGTGACATAAAACTCAATCTCTCTTATACCTCTTTTCCTGCTCTTTGAGCTGAACCCTCTTCTGAAATCGAAATCGAAATCCACTCTTTGAAAACCCCAGAACCAGAAACCTTATCCTGAAGTCAATTCCAGGACAATCTCCAGGCAACCCCTCAAAGTTGGCTTTCGACAGTCAGCTCAACACACACACACCACCTTCGCAAGTCAGACCTTTTACAACGCTCCCTCGACAAGGATATAACTGTGAGGGAAGTGCGCTCCTCTCGAGTGGCTCCTACGGCCAACAACTGCACAATAGGGCCTTTGGCAATATGTGTCTGACTTGACGATATAAACCGAAATTGAAATAGCAACTCGCTATGGCTTATACAGCTGAAGAAAAAGCTCCAATGGCAGCTCGAAATGATCCAGAACAAGACCAGGAATCCCTGGCAGAAGGAGCATCAATTCCAAGCTCTGCAAACCAAACCAATGAACTTCATGATCCTAATTTCAAATCCAAAACCTTCCTTCACACTCTGGGCAAAACAGCTCAAGAGAGACATGAATCTATACTTGCAAATCGACATGAAAAGGCTGAATGGAATGTTGAAACCTTTGACGAATTCCAGAAACTATCTGTCGCCAACCAGAAAATGGCATGGACTTTGCACAAGAACATTCTTCGGGACTATTTGGCCCTAGCAGAGGACTCAAATTCGATACTGGCTGAAAAGGATGATGCCATTCTCCAGTTACAGGAACTGATCCAGAGCAACGAGCAACAAATCACAGAGCAACAAACAATTCAGAAATATCTTGAAAAGCAAACCCAACAAGCTCTGAAGAATGAACCAGGACACCACTCTGTCGACTGTCAGCTCGGATTCCAGACCCTCCAATCCTCACAGATGGGATAGAGCCAGCATTTGAAGACTGGGTTGTGAAAATTCGCCTCAAGCTCGAAGCCAACATTGATCATTTTCCAACACAGACTTTACAAATGAGCTACATTCAGAGTCGACTGGGAGGACTGGCAGTTCGACATGTCAATCCAAGGCTTCGACCAAACTCTACAAACAAATTGCAGACAGCAGAAGAAATTCTCGAACTTTTGGAAAAAGTCTTCAGTGATCCCGATCGAAGGCACACAGCTCAAACTGAGTATCAAAAGCTGTATCAGAGAAACAACACCTTTGCAGTGTTCTGGGCTGAGTTCCAAAGGCTCACGACAGAGCTTGATTACTCTGAAGAAACTTTGCTGGATGACTTGCGCTTCAAAGTCAACCAACAGATGCAGAAAGCCTTAGTGGCTGAAGTTGGAGCTACTACACTTCACGAGTTTGCAAAGAAATGCATGCTCATCGACCAGAACATTCAGCGGATCAAGGAACAAGAAGACAAAAGGAAGCCAAAGTTATTTTCGAACAACATAGGCCAAACTCAAAATCAGGGCCAGGCACTTCGAACTTCAATCCCTCAACCTACAATGGATTTGAACATGCAAAACAAGACACAGAAGCTGTATCGACCACCGCATCAAGATCCAGCAAAAGAAATGCTCATGAAACTTGGGAAATGCTTCATATGCCAACAAAATGGACATCGAGCTCGAGACTGTCCCCAGAAGCTCAAAGCTCAAGTGAATGAGGTATCTACAGCTGAGTCTATCATCGATTCGGAAAACGAATAGCCTCTAGACAAGTCATCACTAGAGGCAGTGCAGCCAGAATTGCAGCTTCTTCCTCGAGATCCAGTTTTGATCCGGACACCCCTTTCTTAGCTACTTGTAGAATAGGAAAATACAAAGCTATTGTCCATGCATTGATCGATACTGGTGCCACAGGTGGAAACTTCATTAATACTGCTGATGCAGAAAGAATATGTGAAATCAAAGGGATAGCCCCAGTCGAACTTGTGAAGCCAAAACAAGTTGAAGGATTCAATGGAGAGGCTGCCCCTGCTATCACACATGCTATATATCTTCGACTACAAGTGGGAGAGCATGTGGAAAGCCTATGTCCATTATTCATTACTTCGCTGGGAAAACATTCCATCATTCTCAGGAAAGCTTGGATGAAGCAACATGGAGTTGTTCTCGATATGATCAATGATCAAGTCCTCTTCACTGGAGATTAT